GGGGGTTTGACCTCTCCTGCTTGTGCATTGTGTGACGATGATAAGCAATCTAATGTAAACACTGCCACTCTTTGTCTTACAGGGATCTGAAGATAGAAAACCTCCTGTTGGATGAGCAGAACAACATAAAGCTCATAGGTGACTCAAGAGCTCTTACATTTAAAGTACCTAACTCTGTTTTCTTGTTCAGGGCAATGCCGCTTCTTTTCAATTTCCTGTGAATAAACGTGTTGAAATTACATTAATTCATTTGTATAAAAAATGTCCCACTTCAAAGAACAAGAACAATATTCAAGAAACAAAGAACAAAAGAAGGCCTTCGTTGCCAGTTGCTTTACAGTAATTAAAAGATTTTCTTAGTTGGAGCGGGACATGCAGAGTGTCACAATGTCCCACATGTGGTGAAGAGCGAAGAGCAATTAAATATCCTGTTAAACCCTTTACGAGCTCTCACCATAGTGCTAATGTGCTACTCTGTTTGTGTGTAACGCTGTGATGGGGCGACTCGTTTAATGAGTGAGCCGAAAGGACGGTAATAAACCCAGAAAAAAAAACACTCACCCCACCTCTCTGTCCCTTCAGATTTTGGCCTCAGTAACTGCGCAGGCATCTTGGGATACTCCGACCCATTCAGCACCCAGTGTGGAAGCCCCGCCTACGCCGCCCCAGAGCTGCTCTCCAGGAAGAAGTACGGGCCGAAGGTGGATGTCTGGTCCATGTGAGTGCACGCTTTCAAAATGTTATCAGTTGTTGCCAAATATCAACTTATTCAAATACATTTGATTATTGAAGTGTGCATTTTGATCTTCCAGTGGTGTGAACATGTACGCGATGTTGACTGGGAATCTGCCGTTCACTGTGGAGCCCTTCAGTCTCCGAGCCCTGCACCAGAAGATGGTGGACAAGGAGATGAACCCTCTACCTCCCTCGCTCTCCTCAGGTAAACACCGAGCACACCTGTGTGATAAATCATAGATGAACGGGCGTTCCTCTTCGGTGGAGAAAAGATAAATCTATCAACTCATCTAGATGGATAAGACTACTCACATAGCGCTGTCATCACCGACATAAATCTGAGTGTGGAGTCGAAATATATATGCCGTGTAATTTCAGGTTATGACTGCACGTAAGTGAAAACATCTTGATGTTCCAGTTTCTGCAAAGAGACGCAAGAATAGATGATAAGCTGCTCTGTATTACTGGAATGACTGTCACTATATATATATATATATAATCTAGGTGGAAAAAAAAGTTTTGGGGAAAGAAAATCATGTATCATGTAACATGTAAGAAGTCAAAACAAGAAAACAAGTGCACCAACCAAAATGCAAATTGTGCAATGTAACATCTTTCCTCAAGCTTTCCTGTCGAGTCGCTGACACTGCATTAAAAAGATATATTGATAATATTTTCCAACAACTAGTAGAATTCTAACTAATGTTGTGCGAGGCAACATTAGGAAACAACAGGAAGAACATACGCTTCACTGTAAGCAGCGACACTCGAACCGCAGTTGCTTTGTCCCTCTCAAATACCAGTGAGGGATGGCTTAGTTATGCACGTAACTATTCATTAAGCTAATGACATAGATGTGTCATCTCATCCGTCTTATGTTGTCATGGAATGAAAGCTGAGGAGAAGGACGAAGGCCAAGTGTGTTGTCAGTGGGTATGACAGGACGAAAGGATTATGAAACTTGTACCATGTCCTCCAACTAGTCATCGAAAACGGTTGAGCGGTGGGAAACGAGGCAATAATTATGTTCAGCTTCATAGTTCAGTGTCACATTAAATAAAAATATGAAATGTTAAAACATGTTTCAGTAAACTTCTTTATGCACCGAGTTGAGTGTAGCTGTTCGCTTATGTTTATTTATATTCTCTCTCTCTTTCTCAGCTGCTATCTGTCTTCTGAAGAAGCTTCTTGAGCCCGATCCCAACAAGCGTCCCAATATCCATCAGGTGATGGCCGATTCCTGGCTACAGCTGGCCAACAAGAACACAGGAGCACCATACCTCAACAGGTCGACTCACATTTACTTTTTGTCTATTTGTTTTCTGAATCTTATCATAGAAATCCTTTTTGCATTCAATTGAAAGCGTCGTAAAGCATTAACTTCCTTTCTCTGCGCTCCCTTTCGGTGTCCAGGATTCACATTGAGGAGATAAACCACACGGTGTTGCTGCATATGACGGAGAAGATGACCTACAAGCACAGCGAGGTGCTGAGCGCCGTCCTCACCAACCGCGCCTGCCACACTCTGGCCGTCTACTTCCTCCTCAACAAGAAAATGAAGAGACTCTCTAAAGAGTACAGGGTAAGGGCTGGAGACAATCTGAACTATTACATAAAACACACTCTCTCAGTGACACGTGAATTCAGTTTTTGTTACGAGAGAACAAGAAGTACGAGGTGTTAAATCTGGTTGCACAACAGGTTTGTCTATCGCTGAGGGCTGTTGTAATGTGCTGTCTGGCCTGTCTGTTTAGGAGATGCAGTTCCAAGAAAAAAAGATAGGAGAGAAGCAGAAAAGCGAATACTTCCAGACCCAGTGGAGGAAGCACGTCGACAAGCTCACCATCCCCCCCAAGCAGACGCCCGTCTACCTGGCTGTGGCCAAGGGGCCCAGCAAGGAGAAGAAACACAGAACAGGTGAGGCATCATATGGTGCAGGTTGGGCAGATTTGTAAAGAAAAGAAAAGTTAATAACGTAGTATATTTGTTTTTCAAAAAAGTACCACTTTATTTATTCGATGTACTTTATTTACCTTTGTCAGGGTAGGTTGATCGAGCAAGCATGTCCTTCACACATAGATAGTTACCCAGTCATCCATCCACTCCTCCATCCATCCATTGTTTGTCTGTCCATCCGTCCAACCACCCATCCATCCATCTATCCGTCTGAGAGGAAACATCCAGGATAAGTTGCCAGTTAATTGTAGGGAGAACACACAAACACTTTTAAAATTGAGTGGACCTGTTGTCAGGCAGATGAAATGACTGAGAAAGTCCATAAATCATTTTATATTAAACTGGATTTAATCTCAGCAACACAGCAAGTGTTATCTAAAAAAGCATCTTTAAACTAGGGATTGATAGGTGGAGTCTGTCAGATCACACTCCTTGAGAAGGAGCTTACAAGTGACAGCAGGGAACTGGGACCTCTTCTCAATTGCCTATAATAGATAAAGAGAAAAACTCCTAAGGCGGTTTCAGATCAAGAAACATGTCAGGACAGGCTGGTCTCCTCAAGGTTTGAATAATTCAGAATGTTCTCGTTCTTCTTTACGCCTGCTTGTTACATGCTCTCAGGTGATTGTCATGTCCTCACTGACTTGACAGATATAATCTACTGTATATACGCAGGGCACTGAGCCAAAGATATTCAGAGAAGCTGCCGTTCTGAACCCTTCACTCCCGTTGTGCCTGCAGAGAGTTGAGCAAGAACAAATATTTCAAATGTTGGTTTGACGGTATTCCGTGAATGTAACAATGCTTCTCATCTCGTCAGGTCTTTTGCGTGCCATTACTGGTGGCCATCGTAATTCCCCTCTGGCGCCACCCGGCACCGTCGCCTCTTCTTCCATGGAGTACCTAGAGATCCAGCCTCTCTTTTCCAACACCCCTAAGCAGCGGAGGCGCTTGGCCACCCTCCCTCAAGTTAACACGAGCCCGGAACACAACATTCCTGCCCCACCAGCACCGTCACCGATCGGCATGCATTCCTTCGGCTCCCTCTCCAAAGCCGAGCAAATTGAAGACACCCCGGCCTCGCCCTGGTACAAGCTGACCAACGGGACCCTGTCCCCGCCGCGCCACATCTCCGCTTTCCAACCCGACTCTTCCTACTTGAAGAAGGCCACGATCCCCAGCCCCCCTGTGCTCATCGTCAACCCACAGCCCAAGAAGAGCATCTCGTCCGATTGGGGCGGTTCGTCCGACACCAGCGGCAGCCCTCCCAGCACGATAGGAAGCCCCCCAGGCAGCTCGGCCTTCAGCCCCCCGAAGTCCGCCTTCAGCGCCCTCAACCCCACCTCGGCATTCAGTCCTCCTTCCAGCAGCGGCAGCAGCGAACCCGACAGCCCGACACACCGCAGCAAGTTCCCGTCTATGGGAATCGGACAGATTTTTAAGAAGAAGGTGCAGCTGCAGCCGTTCTCCTTCCGGCCGGAACAGGTCCTGGAGGAAGTGGTGTCCCCGCCGCCCTACCCCATGCAAACTCTCCTCTGTGCTTCAGGTGCACTCAAGACTCTCTGCTGAGGGACACACGACGAATAAAAAATAAAATAAGGATAGACTGAACTCAAGGCCCCACTCAACATTTTGTTTAAGTTGAAGAAGTCTTCCAGAGCGGCCTTTTGAACTGTCCCTTTATTGTGACTGAGCCTCTTTTCAAGACAGACCATTTAAAAAAAATTAAAAAAAGAAGAAGAAGAAAACAAAAGGAGGTTTGAGTAAGAGTATACAATATTGTGTCTCCAGTCACCGCTCTCATTATGTAATAAGAGGTGGTGACGCTGAGAAGATGAGATTTGAAACAATGACTAAACCTCGCTGTGGCCTAGATGAAGACTGGACATGGGACATCATGTAACACACACATACACACACAAAACACTGTATTATAGACTGAGTCAAGAGGTATTATCTCATGTAATATTGCTGTAACTGGTTACTAATTGAGCCGCAGACTGATTCACACCAGCTAACAGATCCCAACTCTTACCCTGACCCTGATTACATGTATAAATGTTTTGTCTGTCTGAAAAAAACTCTCTATAAGATACCCACTGACTTCCAGCCGGCTGGCACTGTATCAATGCTGAACTGGATGGAGAAGCTCACTGCACTATTCTTTAAAAAAAAAAAAAAAAACTAGTAAAAAAGGTGTTTAGCATCTTTTACCTCACTGCATTATTCATACGTAACTGTGTAACAGCAGTCGACTGTGACATGCTTGTGTGGATTTTTGCCACAGTGGTGCAGTGTCTGAGCGTTGAGTGCCATTAGATTTGAAACAATAGAAGTAGGTATCGCAAGAAGAGTCATATTCACTTTTTTTATAGGGTTCTCATAAACCACCACGGATAATAATTCACAGCTATAACTTTTTATATACAAGTGTTACATCACGACCCACAGGGGAACTGTCAAAAGTCTTAGTTTTGACTTCCTTAGAGCCTGTTCATAGTCTGTTTTGGAGAAGAAGAAAATAGAGCATCAAAAGCCTTATGAAACTTATGAACCTCACAAAAGGCAAGGTGGGAGGATCACGTAACATCTCTGAAAATAAGTCACTTCCTTTTGTCTTAATGCTGTAGTCTGTGTCTTAAGTGTTAACTGCAATGACGAGTATTTGCCAAGAGCTCTCTGAGAGTGATGTGAAAATTGTGCTTGTAAATAACTGACTCCTGTGTTTTTCGGCCACTGTCTGCCGTCCTGTACGAAGCGATCGTAAAATGTTGGTCGAACGGACACTTTGGCCGCTCCGTCAAAGTATTTGACGGAGAAGGTTTCCACGGGGAGCGTGAGCCTTCTCACTGTTAAGATACTATCGAATCTCTTCCTGTCCAAATGAAAAAGTTGCATGCAATACTTCACGAGTCCAACTGTAAACTGTCAACATTTGAAATGATGTCTTTGTACCTTTGTTTTCTGGTTGATACTGAGATTGATACAGACTCGAGATGCGAGGGAGAGGGGGGGGGTCTTTTGTAAGATTTTGTAATGGATGGTTTTGTTTAAGTGTCAAGAGATTTCTATGCTGTATAAAGTATTTTAAATATTTATACTGAATCCATTATGTGTCTGTCTGGTCTTTCAAATGCACCTGCTGTCTGGCTTCATTCTCATTCTGCTCTGTGCACACATGCCAATATAGCCTACAACTTTTTATTAGCTGACATTTTTTTTTTTTTTTAGAATTAATACACTTAAATTACTATAATCAAGTAAGTCATTCTACAATAAGTCTTGTTAATTTATGTACCATTTAAAACGGAGCCTGAGGCACAGAGTGTATTCCTAAAGCTCTTTGCTCGGTGAGCACTATATGGAGGGATTTATGTTGCTTTACAACCTCAATGTGCCACTTGTCTCACATACCATATATACATTACCCACGGAACACCTGTGGTGGGTTAAAAAAAAAGAAGAAAAACACACCCTTGGAACAGCTGAAGGATCCTAAAGGACCGATACAGACACGCATATTACGACCCCTCCCTCTTCGCTCACTCACACACTGCAGACATTAATCTACTCAGCTGTGCCCCCCATCATAAACCTCTTTGGGTGACACCGACCTGACGAGACAAAGAAGGAGGGGGGGTCATCAAAACTCTGAGACAAACGCCCACAAATCACGGGACGACATAAACAGGGCTGTCCGATTAAAGCGGTCGTGGCTAAGCTGATAAAAGCCAAGGGGGCAAGAGTGGCTCAAAAAAAATGCATTAGAGCCGGAGCCTTTTGTTTATCAAAAACAGGCAGGCAGTTAGTCAAAATCCCCGGGCGGTCCGCAGAGACCAACCATGAATACATGGCTTAACCACAGCGCTGAGCGAAAGCAGAGTGTGCACCACGTGTACAGGTCATACCTGTAGTGTTCAGGGCTGCTCTGGTGGAACCTGTAGGTGTGTACGCGCGTGCACACCCACACACACACACGCAATGTGTGTGACAGAATGTAGTTTAAAGAAACATATCGGTGCAGGGAGAGATACTGACTGGGAATACTACTTAGTAACTAGTTTAGGAAATGTATTAACAATTTTCTAAATCAATAGTTTGAGTAATTTTAAAGCAAAAACGCGAAACAATAATTTCACAAAAAGAAGATGTTTTGCTTTTATCTCTATCAATATGAATCTTATGTATTTGGGTTTTGGACAAAAAACAACAACAAAAAAACAATAATTTAAGTCTCTTTGTAAAATAGTGATGGTACATGTACCAGACAAATACTGAAAATGGAACAGCAAGAAAAAGTTAGTTGCAGCATTAGACTGTCTTTTGGAGTATTCTGCTTGCAGAGGCAAGTTGTTTATCAAGGTTTAATCTCAGGAAGCCTTACTGATGAGATAAAGAAACATTTTTTCCTTGACACAGATTATTTCTACGTTAATCTGGTTGTACAATTACAATGACGAGGCTGTGATAAACAAACACCCCCTACCATTGTCACAGCAGGGGTGGGCCATAAATTGACATGTTTCATCATAAACATATTCCGGGAATTTTAATATTGTGAATAGAAAGCAGATTGTACGTCGGATTTCTCCAGGAATTAGTTCAGAGATATTTGGGGATCCGCCGGATGAAAACGCATGATGAAAGATTTCCTGTGCCAACACAAAATATGTTTGATATATCAGTATTTAAGGTCTTATGGTATGATTGTCCTTTGTCCTCATCGTCGAGCCGTAGCTACATCTTGACAAACTTTGGGTTGAGACTGAAACAACAAGAGCAGACATATGCCACACCCTGGGGCAATGTAGGCCTCCCTGCCAAATGTTGAGAGAACATTAAAGTGTCAATCCCTTGATGTTATTCAATAATTGATCACCTGAGCGGCGGCACTCATACATGATCACCAGACACGGTATCTAATAATCAAATCACTTTTAATGAGGCCAAACTGAACCACTTACTGTACCGCAAGACTTTATTTCTGCCAATCTGTTCAGGCTTAGATCCTGATGACACTAATCCTGTTTTCAGCCCACTCCTCGTCACATATACACACACACACACACACACACACACACACACACACAGACACGTGCGCACACCAGGGTGTCACTGGCAACAGGACGAGCCTTTGTGTCTGAGCAAAACAGACAATGAACCTGCTACATAGTGCCGGTGTGTATCCCCAGCCCCCCCACACACACACAGACGACCTGAGCATCCTGGTTCATCCTCAGACCAGGACTGCACACCTCAGCAGTTCTCGCACAGGACGAGGAGAGAGTGAGATACTTCCTGGCAGGCGTACACAAAGACGTGCGGGGGAAATAAACAAGCAGATGTTTCTAATGAAGCAGGAGGCTTTGAGCACTCAGAGGGGATTTGGGTTACTCCGTCAGACCAGTGTCTGACTGGTCGTCTCCCCCGTTTGTATCTATCGCAGACACAGATGAAGGTGATTAATGAAACGAGAAGGCTGTTGGCTTATCAGAGATTGTACGCTTTCGCCCTCGAAGGTGCTGGTAGTAAAACAAAACTGAGCTAAATTTCCCCCAAATGCTCTTGACACCAAGATCATCCTACACTGATTCCCCAAGATTAAATTGGGGAATGTAACCTCCCAATTGAAAGGGGTTTACTAATGGACCTGCCATCTATATCTGTGCGACACAAAGACAAGGATGAGAGCAGACCGTCTTAATGACTTTAGATCTAAGATTTTGGTGGAGCATAGGTTACGCATGTGAGGAAAAGCAGAGGCGATCAACCGAGTCAAAGGTTCAGTCGGGTTTCAAAGGAAAACATTAAATCACAAACTTAATTAAGGATTAAACATGTGTACTTAATATAATCTATTAAATAAAATATATTTGGATGGTATTTACATAAAGGCGTCATGTAAATACGATTGTATAAGCAAGAATAATATTTGAAAGAACCAGTATTGGAATTCCACCTGCACAGCACAGATAAAACCCAAAGGATATTAAGAGTTAATACTAACTCATAAACCAGCAAAGAGCAACTTGTGGGGTGTGGTTCTTTTGTCAGGGGAAACCCAAATAATATGATGCGGGGGGGGGGGGGGGCAATAATTTAAGATTGTCATTATCGAAATTATGGTTGTTTTTCCATCTTCTAATTGACAAGACACACACACCTTATGTAGCTAGTGCCAGAAAAACAAAACTGAATTTAAGTCTCTTAAACCCCTAAAACAGAAACATTTTCCCTCTCACAAAGTAATCCTTTTTTCATTTCATGGACTAAAAACAAACACATTTTGTATGTTGGCACACAGGTGGCACTCCTTGAGATATTTCCCCTCTCTCTCTCTCTCTCTCTCTCTCGAAAACAAGATCAGAAATCCAATCAAAGAGCAGCGCTCAGCCAATAGGATCGCAGTGTCTGTGGCAACAGCAGCATCAGTTCCAGCAGCCATTGGTCTCATGTTTCACACAGGCGCGGCTGTAATTGGCCGATAGTGTGCCGAGGCTTCATTGCCTCCATGGCAACATTGCTTCCTTATTGCTTGGGGAAGGTTAAAAGGAGGGAAAGAGGGGAGGCGACTTTCTCTCAGACGCTACCTCTGCATTATTCATCCTTTGTCCCCGAGTGCATGTAGGATGCGTGTAGGTGTATGATGCGTGTGTGTGCGTGTGTTTCCACGTTGGGGTGGTAATGATTGGTTGGGACTTAACGGGTGAACGGGGTGAAACCGGTGCAATAATTGCACTCAGCAGTGCAATGCATCCAGCAACACCGTGTCTATATACAATACTGCTAAATGAGTTCAAAGGCCCTTCACGGTGATGCTGACTCCAAAACAACAGCTATAAGCCTCGAAGCTTCATTTCTCTCAATGGAGCAACAAACAAACACGGTGATTCTCTACTAAATGACTTGTTACGCTGCGTAAACAGCACACAGCTGGACAGTGAACCGCTCTGTGCAGGACGCATGGAGGCACCTCTTGATAAAGACACCACCAGAACAACAAACACCACGCCGAGCATGTTTGTTGTTGTTTTGATTTATTTCCCCAGCAGTTGAGGGGGGGGGGGGGGTATGGGCATGGGTGGGGTTAGCAGGGAGAAAAACATCACACAGCGATTAGGGCGTGAGGAGGGGGTTCTGTGCAGAGCTCCTCCCCCTGTATATGTCTGCGCATGCGCGGTGGGATAACTGGCTGGCTGGTGAACACGATGACGAGATGGCAACAGGCAACTCAGCATAGCACGTGCTCTCAGTTGCCATCGCAACCTGCCCTTGGATACAGCGTGCTGGTTGGCCGTCTCCAACGGTTGTTGTTCCGCGAGGCTGATGAAACCTCGTGGGTTCAGGGAGGGCAAGCAGGACAGCGTGGAGCTGCATTTCCCGCCTTGGTAGAAAGTGTTGCTGGGCACATTGTAGGTCAGTTGGTAAACATAACCACCAACCCTCCCCAAGGACCAAAGAGCAGACAACTTGCTGTTTAACTCTTAAATCCAAGAAATAAGCCACTGATCCCCACAGTCTCACAGCACCAAGTCAAAGAAAAGGAAGCATTTAAAAGGATTATCCTGTCACTTTAAAGTTATCTTATTGGGGTTTAATCTTTTATTGAAAACTGACAATATTGGAATGCATTTTTTTTTAACAACGTCAGCATTTCTGAAAACCTTTGAATACTTTATTACACAAATATTCAGAAGAAAACTCCACAACAATAAACAAACACCAAAATTAAACGAACAAATGATGAGTCAGTGGAACAAGAAATTCAGGCAATATTTGAAAATATAGACAATAATATGCAGCCAGTAATAGAGGAGCATGTTTTTCATTACTAACGATCAAACGTTGTTCACAACAAGGCGATGAAAAGTATTACATGCAGCGAATCCTTCAAGGCTCCAATGCTGGAGCAAGAGAACAAAGAGTGTGTGTGTGGCCTGGAGTGGCCAGATCAATACACCGTTGTGTGCCGAGTGTGCAGCCTGCCTGATGAAATCCTGCACAAATAAACATTCTGCTCACAGCGTACATTCGCTCTGCACCGCGGAGGCACACGGAGAAGACGGTGCCACGAGCCCTGGGAGCCCTAAACTGACAACATGATTGATTACATTTGCGGGCAGTCTTTGTTTCACCATCAGTAATCAGGACCAAGCCGAGTGGAAGCTCTGTGTGTGTGTGTGTGTCTGCACAAGGTGAGGCTAGGACAAAATGTATTACTGAGGGAATGTGGTTGAGATGAAACTTAGAAGAGGGCGCATTAATGTAAAAGGTAGGGGGCGAGGAGTCACGTTCAACACCTGGACAGAGCACCCACCCGGACAAGCCGACGTCCGTCACCGTCATCACGCCACATCGCATCCATCCTGAAGGCCGGCGTCGATCTCCTCCAGCCTCTGAGCCATGGACATGACCAGCATTTTCATCTGGGAAGGGGGGGGGGGGGGGGGGGGGCAGGGGGGGGGGGGGGGGGGGAAAAAGAGGGGGGGGGGGGGAAGAGCAGCAAGGGCAGGATGGCAAAAAAAAAATGAGTTTGAGAGGAGAAGATGGAATAGGTGGATATGAAGGAGGAAATGGCCAGGTGGGAAATGAAGGCAGCAGCAGGAAGCAGTGAGGAAGAAAAGAAGGGTGGAGTAAAGATAAATGGAGAAGGGAGACAGTGAGGAAGAATGACGAAAACCAAAGGGGAAGAGGGGGAGTGGTCAAGGATGGATGGGTATGGGGGGGGGGGGGCAGGTCAGTGAGTTTACCAGATGAACCACCCAAACAAGTGTCTACGAGGCAGACAGACAGACAGACAGAATACATTAACTACGGCGGTGGGCGGGATGAGCACCTTCATTCGATAGCTACAATGAATTGTGGACAGACGAGCTGTTACGTACCGCTCATAGAGGAAATGCTACTTAAAATTTTGACGAGAAAATTGAGTGCTCGCTAAACAGCTTTGGGCCCAAAAGTCAAAACACAAAGTCGATGGAAAGAACTTATTGTAGGACTTGTCAGTGAGAAAGCAATTATGATTAATGCAGACAGACAGACATGGTTTTAAGAAAGCCATGATTTGAATTCTTGAGCTAGAGACAAAGGCCTTTATAATCTTGTTACAATGAGCTAACGATCAAGAATGGCTTTAAAACCACCTAAATGTAATACAATCAGCGAGGAAGCAACGTTCGAATAATCTTCGGCTTCCTCACAGTGATGAGGTGGATTTAAGTGGTAACCTACAGCAGCATTATTACATCAGTGACGTGGGATTCTTTGTGAACTAAAGAGTTGAAATGTATTTGTTTTGGAGGTTAACAAAAGAAAGAAAAGATAATTATGCATGGAAACTATCAGCCACAGTGTAATGGCATGGTACTGTGCTAACACACAGACTTTACATCTCCTTGAGGACTACAAAGCACATCTAATGCACTGTTGCTCACGTGTAATGTTTATTTGTTTCCCTTCTTGTCTATAATCAGTATTGTTACGATTAAATCTCATCACACAATCGATCACTTGTGGGAAATTCAGAAACTATTTGCTGAGTAAAAACTACATACCTCGCATACATCCAGCTGTAGTGACAAAGAGCCTTCATGATCAAAACATGTTTTTCCTCCAACAAAGATTCCTCAACATGTTTCCCATCACATCTATTGTCCTTGGGCCCAGAGTGAGGGAGTGAGAGCAGGTACTGCTGCACACTGTCGCCACCTACTGGCCTCTCTGTGGCCGGTGGATATTTCTTTAAACAAAGGATGATTACAAGTAACTTGTGTGTGCTACACTACTCCAGTGGGAAAAAAAAACAAGTACTATCTATATATATATATAAAATAATGATACAAATGTGACAAACAGAAAGGGAATGAAAAGATGAAACATACAGAAGATTATAAACAGAAATGGATTTGGATGTTTTGACTGAAACTTCCTGAAAATATACTTCTGTATTTTTAATTTCATCTAAAAAATGTAATGAAGAATAAATCCCATTGCAAGGCAAAGACGTGGTGAGATGAGGTAATGTCTGATACAAACGTCTGCCCATCACAGGAGTGTGGGCTTACCAGAACTGAGCTGATGTCATCTTTAGTGCAACCTGTGCATTCATAAACAATGAGAGAGAGTGAGCGGCTCCGAATAAATGTGAGATCACCGTCTACAGAGAGCAGTGACTCATAACTGGATGTGTGCAGGTCAGATCTGGAGGTTTTTTTAAATCATTTTTCCCCAACAATACAATATTAAAAGGGACTAAACTTGACCTGTGTTGGGAGAAACAGTCATGCTACCACATCGCAATGAGCTTCAGAGCAGACATTCTGTTCAGTGGAGGAAACATTTCATCTCACAGCGATTCAATAAGGGAGAGAAACCAGACAAAGAGAAGCAGCAGCGGTAATTTACCTCCGTCAGCTGTTGTTCAACAACGCCTCTGTACTCCAGGGTGACTGGCTGCTCTTTGGGGCCCTCTGCTGCCAACATCTGGCTTGCAGAGCCAAGCACGTAGCTGAGAAAGAGTCAGTGTAGTATTAGTGGGATACGCACCAATAAAACCTGTACAACTAATGAAAGTCCATATAATATATATCACAACCATAAACACTATCTGTGTAAAGTTGATCACATTGAGGTTTTCATGGAAGCTGTATTTTCTTGAAAGGTATTATTGGACTAAAAATGACTGTTTCTTCAAAATCACAGTATACAAATGTACCCTGATGTATGCTTCTCTGAACATTCCTACTAATACTCTAAGCCCTGAACACACCTGTCGATGTCTGCTACATTGAAACAGAACGTAAACCTCTTGTGGTCGAGGTTCTTCGGCGTCGATGCGTAAACCATTCCGAGTACAGAGTGGCAGCCTCGACAGAACAGATCCACGATCAGACTGCGGATGGAAAAAACAGATTTAATCCAACAAGTACTCATATATATATATATATATATATACACATACATATACATATATACATATAAACTACAAAACACCAGTAGGTTGTTTGTCAATGTATTTTAAAAACACAACACATTTAGACAAGTAAGAAAGGTAACAAAATGTAGTTTTATTTTTTGCAAAAACTATTTAGAAGTACTGGTACTTTTCCACTACAGTTATGTGACAGCTTAAGTCACTAGTTACTTGGCAGATTTATATTTCACACACAAAACATATATAAATGAGATCTTTCTGTTATATACTGTAAAATGTTGTTCCAATCATATAATATACCATAGTATAAACTCTGACAGGGGCAATCCTGCTGCATAATGAACAGTTTTAATTTAGACACTTGAAGTACATTTCTGTGATGTTACTTCTGAATTTTTAGGTCACATTTTGAATGCATACTTTTAAATGGAATGGAGTATTTGTACATTGCACTGGTACTTTTACCTGATAGAAATGATTTAAATACTTAATTAAATAACGTTACCGGACAGGACACTCTTACCAGAGAGATCGTTTAGTCGCTTCATGCAGCCGAGTGTCTTCTCCAACCACGACGTTGTCAGTGACCCCTGAGACCAAAACATCACAAAGCATTGTATTCATAAGGTAACGATAACATCCGTAAATTCCCAGCCTCTACAGCAGCATTTGAATGCACCATCCCGTCTGACTTTTCTACCATACAAGTTACGTAAGCCAGCTAACTGTCAAGCTAACGCTACTCACGCTTCAGTCTTATTTGGTTTTGTCCGTCTTCGCTTCCATCCCACGACATTGAATCCCCGACAGGCAGCTTGCACTTCCCGCAGATGAAGACCACGGGTCCGTCGTCCCCGTCCTCGTCCTCGTCTTCCTCCGCTTGGCCAAACAACTTTTCTTCGACGGCAGTGGAGTCTATACTCGACTCAAACGTTGTGTTAACCATTTTCTGTCGGTGTTTTAACACATTTTCTATCGCCGCCATTTCTACCGAAGTTCTACCAGGTTTCTCCCAAACAAGCTGTTTTGAACGTACGCGGGTGGTTGGTGGTGTTGAAGCGGAGATCACTGAGGTACCCAAACAACGCGAGATGAGTTCTCGTGTGTACTTCCGCTTTCGTCAAGTCATACGTTTTGTTTTCACACCTAAATCTTAACAACCATATATGAACCTTCAGCAACATAGAATATTAGTATGTATTATATGATATATATATATATATATTACATATATGATACATAATGCACGTTGTATATTAGCCACAATTAATATGATATACGAAAAGAGCCAATATTTGTCATTGGAGTTACCGACTTTACCCTACTGGGTAGTGTGTGTACGTGTATGTGTGTATTGTACAGCCAAATACAATTAAAACAAACAAAAAAAAACACCCACTCATTTATTTAGGGATTATATACGTTTCTCATAAGCGTGTGAAAAGGTTATCTCAGGGCAACCAACGTGAACTATCTTGATGTAATCTTTATCTTTGGGAGCCAAGAGGGAACGTGAACCGGAAAGAGAAAGAGCTTTATTGTCTGATATTTGCATAATTCGTCACCTTGTTTGCCTTTAGCTATTCAATTCGTTACCAATGTTCGTCTAATTTCATCAAATTCAAAAATGAAAATAGTTGTTTCCACCAAAAGTAGTTTCAACATTTGCTCCAGCTTCTCATTGGCTAGTGACCCGGAAGTTATTAAATTGAATTCAGGTGCGCTAAACCAAAGAGGGAAAACTTCTCTGGGTTGTTTTTAGGGCTGTAAACGCGTAAAGAAGCCAGTCGTTGTGGTTGTCGTTACCTTTGTATTCACAATGTGCGAGAAGATCAAGAAGGTAACGATCAGTATTTAAATAACAATGACATAATAAGTTAATGCAGTGATCGCTGTTGGCTTTTGTTTACCCTGCTGTTTTCATGGCGCTCCTCAGGTGAACAGCTGGCTCAGCACGGTGTTTGGAGATCAGCCGGTGCCACACTTTGAGGTCAACACGAGGACGGTGGACGTGCTGTACCAGCTGGCACAGTCCAGTGAAGTCCGGTGCAGTGACACAGCTCTTCTCTCAGAAGACCTCAAACAGAAAGCATCCGAGTACCAGTCCGAGGGTGAGTGATACAGGGAAATTCAGATTGCAGAGTTTTAGTCTGTGATTTAAGAAGACTATCTGATAGTAGAAACCAACAGCAACACTTATTTTATAGGATAACTACTTTTACACTTTATTACACAGGAAAACACACGGGTGATAGTGAGTTTCTTGTCCCATTGGGCTTCTTTTAAGCAATGTTGCCACCCAGATCTCAGCAATTATTGTGGCGAGTACATTATTATAACGAGAAATGAAGGCCAAAACTACAGACATTTTAACAGGCTGATTCTGTGTCTTTACATGCAGTTCTGTCAAGTGTAAGACAGTCCATTGATTCACACCTCAGCATTTTTCTCAGAACTCAGCTGTGTTTCCTCCGTCCAGGCGCTCATTACCGAGATGTTCTCCTACAAGGCGTAGGTCTGTCCTACGCAAACTTGTCGAAGCCCGCTGACGACTATCTGTCCGCTTTAGTGGACACGGCCATGGTGCTCGGAGTCAGAGACACGTCACTGGGCAGGTACGCTGACGTTGATGCTGTCTATTCGCTAGTATTCTTCCTTGAAGAAAGACATGAAAAGTTTTGATTTTTTTTTTCCCGTCTCGTCTAGCTTCATGCCAGCAGTGAACAACCTCACCAACACTCTGCTGGAAGAAGAGAAGTCAAACCGGAGACTCGAGAGGGAAATCAGGGCCTTAAGAAATCGACTCAGTGCTACTCTGGTGCTGCGGAGCAACCTGCAAGAGTAAGAACACGGAGGCAGAGGACGATGGCTTTGGCATCATGATGTTGTGTTATGTTACAGTAAATACAAATACACAGTCCTATACGTCTTCTGTGATCAGTGTTCTTAACTGTCTTCAGGGACATCGACAAAACCGCCAAGTCACAGTCAGTGGACAGCGCTAAAGCAGAGGAGAGAATGCTCAACATGGACTTTGTTACGGCGAAGGCTAAAGAACTCAGCAGCAGGCGGGAGAGGGCAGAGGTACGTTGTAATGGTATACCTGCATCTGTAATATAGCTGCTGACGCATTGGTACAATATACTGCTTTTGAAAATGATGGGGAGGATATTCAAGAGTTTTATATATATATAATGTTTTACTCTCTTCTATCAATCTTCTGCAGGCTCAACTTGTATCCAGGAACATGGACAAATCCATCACCCACCAGGCTGTTGTGCAGCTCTCTGAGGTCATTTCTGCTGTTACACATGCAACACAATCGAGCACCATGGTGATGAAGATGCAACACTTTCTGCTCTCAGGGTTTGAAATGCGGCATCTTGTTTTTTGTCTTCGTAGGACGTCACCGCGCTGAAACAGGAAATAATCCCCATGAAAAAGAAACTGGAGCCTTACATGGACTTAAGCCCAGTACGTTTGTTTTCCTGTTTTTCCTGCGAACAGTCCAACAACCAACAGTGCTTTCACATTATTCAAAATATTTTCATGATGGCGGTTATGTTCGTAGATTTCCCTTAATCAAACCAACTTGACAAATCACATTTCTATTGTCTATTTGACTTGACAACATGTTTTGTTTTACCTTCTAAACCACAACAGAGCCCGTCTCTTGCTCAAGTGAAAATAGAAGAAGCAAAAAGAGAATTGGTGAGTATCTTTATCTTTTATTCAATGATGGATGAGAGGTGGTTGCTTACTGTTTTATTTGAATGCAGATGTGTTTCCCTCCATTACAGGCTGCAATTTGTTCCCAACTTGAGATGAATATGGATTTCAAGTGAAGATGTTTGTGAAGTTTGAGTTGTACATTTCTGTGTTTGAAAAAATAATAAAGTAATTGTTTCCATGTCTTGTTGGCTCTTTGTAATGTGTTGCAGCAGCCAACTAAAGTATTGCATTGAAGTCAAAATGTTTCCCTTCCCAAAATCTGCTCTTTTGCATTTGAATGCAGTTTCAACAATGTTGTTCCCCTCAAACCAATCAAAGGGTCTCCCTCTTTTGCATGTTCTTAACCTCTCTAGACAGGAAACGTGTGTTCCAACACAGAGGATTTCTTTGAAAGATTGTGCCGTAAAAAGACGACTTCAAATATTTTGATATATGAGCAATTGAAAATATAAACTGTGGTCTTTCTTTCCTGTGGTCGGACCTGTTCACTTTATCTCACCTTCTTCCTGTTCGTTACAAAACATCGTCAACACTGATCAAATGTTTTGTCTTTTGTTTCTAGTCTGTACTAACTAATTAAGAGGGTGTGTAATTTCTTTCTTTGATCAAAGTCTGTCTGCCAGACGTATATTAATCATCCATCTGTCTGGCCAAACACAGACAGTTTAATATGTTTAGATTGTCTGGATGTCAACTTTGGAAGAATCTTTTCAAAAGTAATAAACACTTTGCATTTACATGAACTCTACTAAGAATCAATACTTCTATAAGTTCTACCTTATTCTTGGGTGTAAAGACATTTATGTCATTAACTGGAATCGTATGCTGATGTGAGCCTTACCAAGGGACACAAATTACATTTTGTAATTCTTATTTCTACATAAGACTACACATCTTCATATTTCAGAACTTATTTCAATAATGCTCAAAACATGAATCGAGTAATCTTATGAGTACATTCACTTGAGTGCAATTTTACTCTCCTACAAGTGCAGGAAACATTTTGAGTTTGACAACAAAATTACACAGGCTTTGGAGGGATAGCCGCAGATGAAAAGGGGGTTTGGAGCCACTCCCATGGTGCCTAAAGCTAAAATACAGAGAATGTAACCGGCTAGGGGGCCTGCAGACCAGTTTGTATGCAAAATATCACCTCTCAGTTCCTCCCACTGCCAGTGTTCCCCCCGTGGAGCCGAGCGTGGAGACCCCAACGTCTGTCAGCCTGACTGCTGTGTAGGTCTCGACCGGTTACCATGGAGTAGGTCATGGATGTGGGCCGGGGAGCAATTCACCCAGTAGGCCCCCTGCTTCTTTCAAAGGCACCGCGGTTAGGGCATCAACACTTCATGAAAAGAAACAGAATCAAAATATCATCCCATGGAAGTCAACTTGGGACACACACAGACTATGTATATATGTGTTGGTCACTGACACCATTACTTGCCTACTAATTCAAGGATTGCTGTCTTGAAAAGAAAGTTTTTTCTTCCTGTTTATAATAACATCGACTCTACATTATTGGTTTTGCGTGGGCCAGCTATCACACTTTCTGCCAAATATTTAGTCCATATATATATATATATATATATATAAGTTATATATAGAACTTATATTTTTCTTCTGCCTCACTATGTATAAATATACATATATATTAATATAGGGAGGCCAAGAAGAAAAATCTAAGTCAGAAATGCCAACCTTTAGGTTTTGAGTTAGATTTGTGTTTATTCGAATCACACAATTCACATAAATAGTGAAAATGGATGTACAGAGAAGGATACATATTGCTATATATTGCTTATTGATAACCTCTATTAAACAAATGATGTTGTGTTAGTTCATAGCAGTGCGAGAGAAGGAAGAGAAAGAAAGGCACAGGAGAAACCTCACTGAATGAAAGCATTTTGTCATAATCCAAAAGGTAAACATGTGCCTCATAGTGTGTGTGTGTGTGTGTGTGTGTGTGGGGGGGGGGGGGGGAAAATATCCTGCCAATGCGTCACACCATTGAGTGCGTCGCCCCTCTTCCCTTTAAAATAGTTTTATCTGCCACGCCCACACCATAATTCACACGCAGCTGTTACTGTAAATTGCGTTCAGTTTCCACGTGCATCTACTCACAAATCGTTGGTGTTGAACAGCGGGAGAGTCGGACTGTGAGCAACGCCACGCGTCGGCTTAATCCACCGCCTCTCTCAGTGTTTCTGACCAACTTGTTGCGCAGCTGCTATTTCTCACTAAACCACCCCCGTGGTCCGCTCCTGCGGAGAGCTGCTCACCAGCGCACACTGGCGCTGTGTGGTGCTTCATCGGGGAAAACAGATGGACGAAGCGGGGACTTTCTCCAGGCCTACTACATCCAAACTAAACGTTTTTGTTTTATCGCGCAGGCTATAAGAAGATGACGCTTTTGTAATTTTTAATTTTTTTTATGAAGTTCTGTCGCCTACAGTGACATTTCCAGTGTGTTTAATATGATATGACGCGTCCTTGCCACGGACCAGACTTTAGCCACAGCCTCTTCTACCTCACACTACTCCTGTGGACCAGACGCATGAGTGGACTGGCTGACTTTTCAAGTAAGATGATGATGATGATGATGATGGTGGTGGTGCAGTGGGAGAAGGAGGGGAGTAAATGTAGGATGAGAATGGTTAAAGACCACGGGAAGGGTTCTGTACAGGTGATGCATGGTGTAATAAATAAGGTGGTTCCATTCTGTTTTCCCCACATTGCCAGTGTTTCAAGATGGGGTAATGTAAAAGATATACAGTGTGAGGACTGAGGAGTTAAATACATGTTTCATTTTGTGTTCGAGACTATAGCACCAATGCCAGAGACCAGCCATTCTCGGCATTGCTTTGAGAGTGTTTTTTTTATTTTTATAATTTATCTAAAGTGCATCTAATCTAATTCAAGTCCTCCAAGAGTAATTTTGTGTGAACACCTCAAGATGAGGGACTTTGAATCAGAGGTAACATAATCTACACACCACCCTACAAAAGGTGGGTCATATTCGGTTGACTGCCAGTTGGCGGAGTTTGACACCCAGCAAAGAGAACTGGCAGTCAGCACTTTGATGGGGAAGTTTTCAAAGCAACATGAGACTACTAACAGAACTCAAACCAGGGCAAACATACTAACCGAAACCCACATGCATTAGATTGAAAAAAAAAAAAACAACGACCTCAAAGGCATGGTTGATAATCTTGGGAAATTAGTAAGAGTCCACTAGATTAAAAAAAATCATCCAACTGAAAAACCCAGCACATTGTTGCCAACTCTTTTTCCAAAGAAAGTAGTGAGCAGCAGTAGCTCCAAAAGTCGCTTGATCTAGACCGTCTAGTGTGCAAAATACCCCCCTTATTGCCACAGGGTGTTTAATTCGGCCCGAATGTGTAATGATTGGACGGGCTTATTACAGGCCTGCGACAGACACTGTTTGTGTCAGAGCGTTTCACTCATTGACTGCTGTCAGGATGTAGTGAGAATTTCAACAAAAATACCAACCAATATCAACAAGTTAAAATCCTTTTTTTAGTCGTTGTGGGTATTTCTGCCCCTGTAAGTAATACTTGATTTAGTTGGTCCCCTGGAAGCACACACATCCTGTGATTGTTTGTCCTTTTAAGTAAATTTGAAAGAGTACTCCAGTGATTTTTTTCATGGCACGTCCATAAAGTTTGGGGGCTCACAAGAGACAGATCAAATAATTCAATGGTGAAAATGACTTGACTTTGAGTCTCTGGTATGGGCCAAGCAAAAAAGTTGGATCCTACATTTCCTATAATGTAATTCAATAGCCTCTTTCAAACCCCACACCTCCAATTCGTAAGGCAGGCTTTCTAATAATTAGTAAAGTAAGTAAATTAAACTTCTCATCTTGAGTGTCCCTTCAATGCATGTGTACGTTTCCACGCACATTCCAGTCCAACCGGTGCCTCTTGTGTGACAGACTACCTGTCCAGGATCATCACCAGTCACTCTGCTCAGGCGTGTGACGGGCAGCCTCTGCGTCTCCACTGTCCACGTCACTCCACCATCTACATCCAGTCCGCCTTCTACGGGAGCGGCGTGGCGCGGCTGTGCAGATCAGACCCGGACCCTCCGCTCAGAGCCCACAACCACAGCTGTTCAGCTTTTACTGCTCTACAGGTGCGTTTTATAGTCCGGGATATATACAGCACTTTTCCCTCTCTCTGGGTCACTTGCGTATAGGTGGGTGTTTGCCAGTGTTAGCTGATGTATTGGAGACGTTTTCTCCCCATATGTGCTTTAGTTTTGTGGGGAACACGGCCCACTTTTTGTCCCATTTGTCAGCCAGTTAGTGCGTCATTCTTTTTGCATCTGATTTAAATTATGCTCTCTGTGAATTGTAGCTTCAAATCCTGTGTACTGCTAAATGACTGTTCATGTCGTTTGTTGTGCAGAAGCTGCTGTCGGAGTGTCAGAGCCACAGAGATTGCAAGCTGCCTGTCAACCACCTACTGTTTGGGAAGGACCCCTGTCCCGGCACGACCAAATACCTCCATGTGGAATACAAGTGTAAACCAAGTGTGTCCCTACCTTCTTTTGTTATTATTGTGTTATCCCCTCACGATCAAACTCCCTGTTGCAGCATCAGTTCCTCTCATACATTGACTGGTGCGTGAGCATGAAATAGCTACACAGCTATGCACAAAAATTCCCACCTCTAACCTCCCCACTGCAATCATCCCCTTCACCTCTTCATCCTAGTTTTTTTCCCCTCCGCTCAGCTGAACACAAAAGGCATGTGGTGTGTGAGGGGGAGACGATGGTCCTGCGCTGTAAGCCCCCCAAGGTTCTGAACATCTATGCAGCTGTCTATGGGAGAAGTCTGGGCCAGCCGGACAACTGCCCCTCACACCTGACGAGACCACCCCCGTTTGGTGAGTCAACGGGATATTCAGTATTCTCACACGGTGGAAACGAACACATCATAGCTCTGACAAGAGGAATGTAAGTTAAACTACTTTACATTAGTTTCACTAATCTGACAGTTTAAACGGGCAATCTATTGCATTTTATAAATTTGATAAATTTCACATTCATTTTGAAACCTTAGTATAATTACTGTAAACAAGCAAAACCAACACTATCTTAATAAGCAGCATAGTAGTGTATTTTCTGCAGTTTGGATAATGTTTCATTGAGTCAGGCTATGCAGGAACGCATGGCTCAGCAGACATATTACTTGTCAGTGTAGGAAAATCACAGGTGTTACTAATAACATTAACGATGCCTCCGGTGTGTTCAAGTGCCTCCGTAAACCATAAAAGTGTGACAGTGAGCCAACAATACCAGGACCCAGGAAGTAGCTATTTTAGGATTTCAGCCGTCTTTCATTTCATTATTTACAACTGTACTTGACCGACAGTAACATGCCGAGTTTGTCTTCTGTTCAAACGAGCTATGGCAGACGGTTCACTAAAATGTGCTTCACAACACGAAGCAATCAGGGAATTATGGGAAATGTGCTCTTAATTAAAGAGAAACACAAGCAAAAACTATACAGGAGGCTTTTTTTTCCATTTTGACATGCCAGAGCAGAAACAGCACAGGTGTAACTAACAACATCAATAATGGCTGCATTCCTGTTGGGTGTGTGCCAGACATCGTTAATGTTACCGAGTACATATATATATATATATATATATATATATATATATACAGTATATATATAATTGGTGTGGGATAAAGTCTAGATGTCATTGTCATTTGTTAGTTCTACCAAATTATACTAATTTTAGAATAAGACACAATGCTTTAAAGTAACTTATCTGGATATTTGATGCTTTAGTTGCACTGAGTAAAATATTTACTTTTCTGGAGCAGAAAAAAATACAGGATTGCCACAAACAGTGATTTCATAGTACAAAATATTGTAAAATACAATCAAAATGTATAATACATTACATTACACACTCACACACACACACACACACTCTGTGTATATTCAATGACTGCTCTCTGAGTCTCTCTTTGCTGTTCCCTACAGAGTGTCTGAATCACGAGGCTGTACACTTGGTGTCCAAGTCCTGCTACAGCAAACAGAAGTGTGCTGTTGCTGTCAGCAACCAGACCTTTAGAGACCCCTGCTTTCCAGGAACCAGGAAGTACCTCAGTGTGGTCTATTCTTGTGGTAGGACTCTTTTTCTGCTTCCTCGTTCACAAGATACGACTTCTAGCCTGTTGTTAAATTAGAGGCTTCAAATTAGGAACAGGCTTCCGTGATATTATTCTAAACATAGCTCACGTCATGTTCTTGTTTTCGCCTTATTCATTACGTGACAGTTATTTCAATGAAGATCCTTATCTGCTGATCTCAATCCATCAGCTGTTCTCATCATGTCACACCCAACAACACAGTAGCGGGAAACACTAGACTGTGAGCTCAGATGTGCGGGTTGAGGCTGGCATCCTGGTAAACTTCCTGCGATTGGCACGGATGCCGGTGAGGACATGCGAGGTCATGCGGCAACATTGTTCATGTATCGAAGTCTGGAGATTTGACTTCGAGCCTGGATGACAGAATTCTACTGACCGGCTCTGTTGGCTCTAGCGAGCACAAAACAATGTGTGTTAACCTTGTAGACCGGTTATCAGCACAACTGGACAGAATGCAGTCATCATTTCAGAGTGTCACTCCATTGTGGGCCCAGTTTTCCGTCCACATCAATATAACGACTGTCCCTTCTGTCTTCCTTCCAGTAGTACCACAGTCTTTACTGAGGGAGGCAGACCCTGACATATTCAGCTCCACTTCATCTCCTACTGTGGACACAGAAAAAGGTAACGGCACCATGCCATCTGTTGCAATTCCCGGGTTTTCTGTGCCATTTTGTCAGACAACACGATTCAAATTTTTACCGCAGCTCCTCCTGCGGATCTGGAGGAGTCTCTCCCCAAAGGTTCAAGAAGGCCCGAAAACTCAGGAGCCATGATGAGCAGCTCTCTCCTGACCTATGCCTACATTAAAGGTGAACATTTCTCACCACGAATGTGCATCTAAACCATGTTTATACATCTTCTTCCTTTTCTATTTTCTACACAGAGCATCCAGAAATGGCAGCACTGCTGTTCACCTCCAGCGTGTGCATCGGTTTAATGCTCACGCTGCTGGCTGTGTCGGTCCGAGTGACCTGCAGAGGGCGCCAGCTCGGAGACCGGAGGCTCACACCCACGCCTGGTAGCCAGGCTGTCAACCTCCAGGAGGAGGACAGTGATGAGGAGGAAGAAGAAGAAGATGATGATGATGATGATGACGAAGAAGAGGGAACAGAAAGCTCTTTAATCTCAGCCGCGGAAGGGAAGGCGATGCACGGCTGGGAGGAAGTGACCTATGTGAGCGAGGCAGCGGAACGGGCGGAGAGGATTGAGCGCAGGGAGATGATCATTCAGGAGATATGGATGAACGCCTATCTGAATGGAAGCCCATGTTGAGTGGACTGTGACCCATGTGTGCTGTTCAGCGCCTTCAGGATTATTTCAGGATTGTTTTATTATGAACAAAACAAGAAACCTTTTCTTCTTCTTCTTTTCTTTTTTTTACATTGTAAAGTGTTGTAAGTGTTCTGCCAGATTGCTGGAGACCTCAGTTTATGAAGAATGTAATGTTTGGATGAAACTGCAGTACTATCCATTTTTAAAAGATCCAACAGGGTTTAATGCTGTAAAATGGGTGGTGACATAAATTCCGTAATTGTTTAAATGTTGTATTTATTCACATCCACCACTAAATGAAGCCAGGAATTAAACTGCCGATGTTTCGACTAGTCGACGATTTGCTTTACCTCTTGAGCTAGAAGGTTTTTTTTAAGTCAAGCAAAGCATTCCCACAGGAAGGAGAAATGATACTAACAAGGTTAGAGACTGGTCAATAATTATTTAGAGACTCTGGATCAAGGTGTGGTTTCTTGTGTAGATGTTTAATCACAGCATCCAGGAAAATGGGTGTGTTTAAGTCACTGCTGTGAGAGGATCCAGGACCACAGGGCCAAGTGGTGAATACATCAGCACCAACATCACAAGGACTACGTGGTTCATAGTTGATGGAGATGGGTTTTAACACAAAAGACTCAAATGAGTTGAATTTAATATTAGGGAAGTGTTTTCCCATGAACCAATCATATCCACACTATGCCTAAGAATCTGTAGAGCTGCCAGTATAGATGACACTAATTGGCACAAGACACCTTGTGTTATTAGAAAATGTTTAGCAACAGAATGGTCCTTTACATTCTGGACAAATACTATGTGTAAAGTGTTATCTTTCCTAAAGTATAATTAGTATTCCCTAAAATGGCCAGCTGTTTATACGACAGGCCTACGGTGTGTGTTTGAATTTCACCCACCAGAACTAATCACCGTCTCTTTAAAGAGACATTTAAATTAAAAGTAGAAAAAGGCTGAATTGTCCTTCAACTCTACAGGATGTTTTTCTTTTTGTTCACTGTTCCTTGAAACCGGCCAGAGAGCCACTCCTCTCTGATTCACTGCATCGACTCCGTCAACAGTTCCACAGAGTGGAATTAAACACTCTCACTTTGAACTCTACAACTTCCTCATGCCTGCTGGGACGAGAGCTGGAACGACCATCAACTATGCTGCAACGTCCTGCCTGACAGCAACACGCACTTTCAGAGGTGTGTGTGTGTGTGTGTGTGTAACTGAGCGGAGACAAAGAGAGGAAAGGTGTAGCATCCTTGCCCCTGCACTCCCAGGGATATAAAACTGTGCTCCTGTTGACTCACTACCTCTGAGCATTTGTTGATTGTCAACACAACATTAATACAAAAATGTTTCACCATTGTTTATGCACAGGCTGTATTGGAAATTATTCTTTTACTTAAGATTAAATTTAAATATAATTATTTTTTCACATCTTTAATAAAAATGTAACTTTTACAACAGGTTGAAAACATCTGGTAAAGAAATACAGGCATCAGATTTAAATCACGTAAATAATGACATCGGCCTCCGTCCGTCATACAATGTCCCCAGATGTCTTCTTCACATTTCAGTTCAGTTGAAGAAAATTTATAAGTGTGAGTCTAGAAACACATGCTCTCCAAGGCATTTGAACACATCTGCTGTGTATAATTTAAAAAGACCTAGAACAACAGCCACATTAAACCGATTTCAGGATTGTGATAATAAGGCTGCTTAGTCAGTTGCATACAGAGCTGTAAAGGACCAGGCGGCATAGAGGTAGAGGTGCTCATCTCGGTCCCCATTTGATGTTGGTGAGGCCTTGAAACTGTTTCCTGAGGGCCTGTCTGTCTGTCCACTCTGAGTCCAGGTGGCTATCGTCGTCCGCCTCCTCCAGTTTCTGAAAATGTTACCAGGAGAAGGTGAGAAAAGGAACATCCAGTACAAACGTGACCATGTTTCTTTTAATGCGTGCACCTATTATAAAGTCCGTGAGTGTTTTCGTCTCTTTAGCCTTTCCCTCACCTTGAGCTCCTCCTGCCTCCTGTACTGATGCATCATCATCTGTTTCTGCTGCTCATCAGTGACCAGAGGCTCTCTCGCCGGTTGCCCCTGCCCTTTCTGAAGGGAAAAATGCATTACAAACAAAACAACACATACACTGCCTGCTTTCCCTTCAGGTTGGCTGAAATGGGCTCTCACCTTTTGGATTTTGACCACAAGCTTGGTCTTTTCATTTTTGCCAATGTAGTCCTGCAGTTTTTTCCCCCTCTGCATCTCTTTGCCAGCCCACCATAGCTGGCACTCGTCCTCTGCGATCACCTGCAGAGAAGCCTGAGGTACAGACAGATGCAGAGGAATGGAGGGAGGGAAAGAGATTATTAGGGAGGCAGTGAAGAACAGAGTCACCTCCAAATGTATCAAACAAATGTACCGTAGCTAAAGCAGCTTATGCCCTTGTTGTTGACTGAAAACTTCAGTCAATAGGCCACAGGTTCAGCTGTTTACCTGTGTTCCTGAAAGGTCTTCTTGGTCCTCAAACTCCATCCTGATGGGGTCATGAGGAGGCAGCCCCATGGGGTACACGATCATGACCGCACCCCGTAGCGGATCCAGGGCTTCCTTTACCATCTCCATGGTGAAACAAACATTAGCTTGAACTTGTTTCTGAAAGACGATGAGAGAGACAGTTTAAATAAAAAGTACTGACCCTTGCTGAACAAGTCTATCAAAAAGTTGTGTGTCTCCACTGATACTCACTTTGGAGATCAGCGCCTTTGCCTCCTCAACGGTTCTCATCAACACCTCTTTCATCTTATCATTTGGAGCTGGGAGAAAGTAAAGAGATGGGTTGTTCGATTATAATATATAATATTTTATTTTTTCCTGCTTGCATGGAAATTAAAAGAATTAAAACATTTTTTAATTGCAGGTTTTCCAGGTCACAAGAGGGATATAATAGGAGGGGTAAATCTCCACCCACCCATGTGACAGTTTGCAGCTCAAAGCTACAACCACACGCAAAGTATCCCGTCTTCCTGACAACATTAATGACATTAACAATCATTTTCTTGTTAAACTACGTAGCCGACACTCATCGTCTCACCGTGTCCGTTCCTCCTCCCCATCTCATCCTTCCTAAACACCATCCCCCCGCTGGGCACACACTGGTCCTCCCATTCATCCTTCAGCTTCAGCTCCACAACCTGCTCCTCGGTCAGCCCCTGCATGTTGGGGGGCAATGTGACGCCATGGTCGGCCAGCTCTGGGATCTCTGAGGGAACACGAATCCACAAAGGAAATCACTGTCAATGTACTGCCTTAGTGCTGACATGAGGTTCAGTCAATGCTTTGTTTGTGTCATTTTCTTCACCTGCACATATTCTGTCCACTTTGAGCCTCCCGTTGTAGATGGCTGCTATTTGCTGGATCGCCGTCTCCAGAGGAGAGTCCACGGTGGTGTTGAACAGAAACACGCTCTCATCTCCACGCTTCACGTGCAGCAGCACCATCTCGAAAAGTAGCCAACTTAGCTCTCCACCTGTTCGCCGGTTGAAGGAGACTGTTTAGGGAAACACGTTTAATGCGACACCCAGACTTGTTGTAAACGGAGTGTCCCGGGATCCTTAGAGAAACAATGTAACCATAGCAACAGTCGTGCGCATGCGCTTCCTGTTAGCTAGCTAGCTAGCATTCAGTTCAATTCAGTTTATTTTGTACAGCCCAAAATCACAAATGTACAGCTTTACAATCTGTAGTTACAACATACGACATCCTCTGTCCAAGGACCCCCGTATAAACTATACTATATATATTATATATAGTATGAGCTAGCTAACTTAGCTAACTGCTAGCTGTTTACATCCAATATCTCAATCTATTAAAGGGTCATTTCTCCACAGAGACTGTAAATGGTAACATTTAACACAGTTACCTGTGTAGTGAATCGACAGGCCCAATGCGTCACATACGATGTGGAGACTGAGCTCACAACTTGTTTACAACCGGTGACATTACTAGCTAGAGATTGCATGGGGATCAGATGGGGATTGGTCGGTCCGGAGGCTTCTTCGTGTGACCTATTTACGGCAGGTTAGAACAATCCAAGCACTGCTACTGCCCTCTAGAGGCAAGTAATGGTAACACTGTGGCCATCAGGGTGTATGTAAGGTGTCACACAACTGAGTTTTGAATAGAGCTATATGTTGTTTACTTGTTTATGTGCAATAAGGTCACAGCCTGCAGTCAGAGAAGACAAACATCACCATTCAGGGTCAACTTACATTTATTTTTGCATACATACAACACAAACTGCTTCATACATAAATGTGCAATGAGCTTCGCACTTAAAATATGGAACGTTGGATATTAACATGACTTGCAGTTTTCATGTTTTGTCTTTAATACATACAAGAATATGTTCAACAACAACAGACTCTTTATTTACTATGGATTATAACCATAAAAAGGGGACACCAACCTCACGAAAAAAGGAGCAATATGTTTCCTATAAAATCTCATCTTGAACATGACGGGACACAAAGCGCTGGCTAGTTACCTACCATTAATGCAGATACATGACCTACTGCACACACGTGGAAAACACAATGAATGCCTCAGAGATGACATTTAAGCAAAGGCAACCCGATACACTTGCTTACATAGATAGCCGATGCTTTCAGTGCAGTGAACAAATATAATTCCTATTGTGTTTAAACAAAGGGCAGAAGCATTAGTTAGCTCGTACTATTTCTGTTTTATCCTCCATTGTCAACATTGACACTGACATCTCAACAGCAGCCAAAGAGTGAAATAACGTAGTACAGGAAAATAAAAAAATACTGACACATCACCTCTGACAACATAACAAACACGCCTCATGAATGGTCAAATAATCAGCGAGGCTCCGTAACAACTACGCTCGACTGGAGGGAAAGCGGCCATGGGCTCGATATCACAGTTGGACCTGCAAACTGCCGAGAAGACACTCAAATCACACTACTGTCTGGAATGTGGGCCACGCTGCGCCTGGGAAGAACACAGCACACAGTCCACTGGAAATGAAAGTGTGGTGATGCGTTGGTTACAGTGTAGTCGAGTCTGTACAGTCCGTTAGTGTTGCTATGGTGGGAATTGTCACACACAGGTGGTGGGTGCTTTGTGGTAAAAGTCCTTTGTCTTTTATTGTTTAAGATGTTTGCATACAGTGAGGTCACTCCACAGCCCCGGGGCAAGCTGGAGATTGGAAATACAGTTACAACTATTTATGAAAGAATACAGTGGCTGTTGGTTCAAAACCTGTAAGCAAATACACGGTGTGCACTTAAATGAGAAGACTTCCTCGGGGAAAAGCTCTGATATTCTACTCTTAACTATGTACACACACACACACTCACACACATCCAAACACAAACACGACAACAGACGATATGCACCTCAAACACAACACATCACTTCTCACCACAGTTATCAACAATAGATTATTTAGAGTAATTGTTTGTAGAACTTAAAAAAAACATGGCTTTTGCAATAAACAAAAGTTGAATAAAATTAAAATAAAAGTGCCCTCTTATTATTATTATTATTATTATGCATGGCACACCTGCGTCGTACTTAACAGCAGTATACACGCGCCACTGATCTGATCCTACACTAGTGTGGTTCAATGCTTCGGGTCGTCTCTTCAATCCGCAGGTTCTCATTTCTGTCACTCAGCAAGAACACAACCAAGAGCAGCCTGTCGGTGCATCAGTTACATTGTGCAAATCCCTGATGCGGCCATCACAAACACACACACACACACACACACACACACACACACACACACACTGAGTCCTATCCATATTGAAAACATACATAATCACTATGTATAGGCTTTGATATAGCGCTACAAAATATACTCAGCTTAGCGCAACAGCCCGTTGACAAAGAGCGACGACTGAATAGAGCGAGAACAAAATGACATCGGTGTTGCGGCAGTGAACGGACTATGACGCGGACTTGTGGCATTCTGGTTCACCACGTGGTGTCAGCAAGGAGGCGAAACCCAGTGCAACATAAAAGTACATTCATGATAAAAGCAAGCTCTGCACCCCTCAGACACAAAAGAACAGAACAAAACAAACTATGGTTGGGAGCAAATGGAAAAAAAACCTGCAGTGCATAACCTTCTACTACAAGTACACAGAGAAGGTAGAAGATTACCCGCTACTCTGAGAATCCCGCTCCGATGTACAGATTAGTCAGAAGGGTGGATATGAGCCGCAGCGTAGCTAATGCTGAAGCTGCACGGCCACACACAAACCTCTCGATATTGCACACGATAAACACATGATTTGTGCGTATTGATGTACTTTATACATAACACTATACCGTAGACACAGGCACATGTTTGCTGCCACGATTAAAAATAAACAGAACAACTCATATTAAAATAAATGGTAACATCAGGGAGCAAGCAAACATCTCTGTGGTCGAGTTTAGAACACACTTTTAGGGCCCGTGCTGCTCGAGACGTAAATCGTTTCCTGGGATTCAGACGGGGATTGGTCTATACTTTCTTTAAATATCGTCTCTTTTGTACATACACACACATATATCATAGATCTATACATATCTGGATATGCCCTTTACATATTAAGAGTGAGCCTGTCTTTCTGTTCCCTTCCTGGGGAAGAAGCAGTCGTTGGTGGGTCCCTGGGGGGGGGGGGGGTACTGTTTACGGTTCTACTTGGGACAGGGAGGACGGAGATTTGGGAATACCGACGGGACCGAGGATAACCAGTCGGGCTCGGAGTCAAACAGAGAGCTCGAGGGCTGAGTTTGGGCCACTAGGGAACTGGACGGGAAGACGGGGGCCTGTGGCGTTTTGGTCGGAGGTTGAAAATCCAAATCATCATCAAAAGTGACCCACCGCTGGGTCGGTTTGCCTCCCGGGGGAGGCGGCTGGCGACGAGGTGCGAGGACAGGCGGAATGGAGGAGGCTGGCACCAGGGGCAAGGAGGGGACAGGAGACGGGGCAAGGGGGAGCAGAGGAGGAGGTGGAGAAGGAAAAGTGGATGACGGACCGAACAGGGACGTGGTCCTCTGGAGCTGGAAGGCGGGTGCAGCAGTAGCGGCTGCTGTCGGAGCGGGGGTGGGGATGAGTGGTGGAGTAAGAGCAGACATGGTCCTCTGAATGTTTGGCGTCGGGGCGGGACGATGGACGCTGAAGTCCGGCGTGAGCGAGCGGTACTGCTGTTGTTGCGGCAGCGAGCCTGTGAAGGGATTGGTGCTGCTCGGGCGGGCTGGAAGCGGGTCAGTCAGGAGGGGGCCAGGGGAGGCCCCGCGCAGCGTCTCCTGCGAGCGGCTACGAGACGGGACCGGAGGGGGCGGCAGCAGGGAGGAGGCGAACGGCGACGGGGTGGAAAGCGAGGAGGACGACGACGAGTTGAGCGCCTGTGGGTCCGACAGAGCGGAGGGCTGGAGGGAGAAGGATGAAGGGAGGGTGCTGGCGGACGAAGACGTGGGAACGGAGGGGGGGGCACGCAGGGAGGAGCCTCGGGTCAGAGACTGGGTGGTGTGCCAGGAGGAGGACGAGGAGGAGGAGAGGAGATCAGAAGCAAGTGTGTCGAAGGGGTCGGGCTTCCATTGTGCTTCTCTTTGGATTCCATTCATTCCATTGGTCTGAGGAGGAACAGAGACATCCAGTCAGCTGTCACAACAAATGCTGTGTGAAAATATGAACCATGGAGCTGATTTGTTGCCAACTTCTTTCTTTAGCTCGGATCAAAGTTTAAAGATATCCATTGAAAACAAACAGTTACATATTACTGATCTATGTATCACATACAATCACCAACTCTAACACAAATGAATTAAATAATACAAAACAAAATATAAAATTAAATGAGGATGTCATTGCATATGTGCTCAGTCACCTGAACCACAGAGAGCAGATATGAAAGGACTAGTGAGGGGGGGGGAATGGCCAACAACTTAACATCACATTTTTTTCCCACGTTGTTTATGGTTTGATATGTTGACCGACAAAACAGAAGACAAGGAATGCTTTGGTTAAAATATCTTCTTTGCGAAGACGTAAAAAAGGAAAGAAAAATTGGTCACGAAATGAAAGAGAGAGGTTACTGGGTGCAACGTATGAGAGGTAATAACGTCAGAGCAGAGGACTGTTGTGCTATGGAAGATGAGACAAAGAGGTGGTTTAATATAAAGTACCTGTCACCCTGAGGGCTTCTCCAGCTTGTGAGAGAGAGACAAATGTATCAGAGAGACAAAAGCAGGAAGAACGACACAGACAAACTAAGCTCAAAGGAGCAGAAAGAAGCTATTGTTGCAGTCTTCGCCTCCAACACTTGTCATAAATAGCATACAATATCTTGTCTAATGAGAAGAATCTGAGAACCTGTCCTACATTATTTAACGACATTAAAGGAGAGAAATCAGTGTGCTCAATAGATAATTATAATAGCGTTTGTTCAGTTGCAGAAATTCGGATTTAAGATTAATTAAAAAGGAAGTTGCCACGAACCTGCGCAGCTGGGGCCGTCTCAGACTTGGCGGCGTCAGGTGGCAGAGTGTGAGAGGAGCGTGAACGTGGCGGGGGCTTAGGAGAGGCTAGACCTTGTGGAGAGCCAACAGCAGGGGGGGCAGCAGCAGCAGGGGGGGGCCCTGCTTTAGGAGCTTGCTGTGGCTGGAGCGGAGCTGAGATTGTGGGCTGCATGGGTGCTTGGAGTTGGGACTGAACTGTCGGGGCAGCTGGTTGGGGCTGCATGGGCGGCTGCATGGGTGATGGGACCTGGGGTCTGGCTGCAGGGGGCTCTGCAGGAGGAGGAGCCGAGGGAGGGGGACCTGGGCGAGGAAACGGGGACAAGTTCAGGCTTAAATCGTATCACATTAATAACATCCTCGTGTTGGTAATCTAGTATAACGCTGTATAATCTGTAAAAAAACACATTTCCTTACCCAGAGGCAGGTCGGTCGGCTTGACCTGGCCACTGGCCACAGGGCGTGGGGCTCCAGGGTGGGTGTCTGGGATGGGCCGAGGGGCCCCAGGATGCACCTCTGGGATGGGTCTGGGTGCTCCAGGGTGAGAGAGAGGTGGTGGGCGAGACTGAGGGGGCATACTGATCACCCCTGCTCGAGGAGGGATATTCTGGGATGACAAAGGAAAGGGAAAAGAGAATAGAGAGAAATTAACAAATTTGGTAAAAATGAGTAAAAGACAAACTTTATGAATGTTTTGAGTTTGTAAACTCACGGGTCTCGGAGCACCTCCAGGTCCAGGAGCTCCCACTGCTACCTGGCCTCGAGCTGCAAGGGTTAAGAAAGACAAACCGTTTACATCAGCAAATATCGTACTATTCTGTATTCATCATGTGGGCTGTGCTCCCTAGGGAGAGATGTAAGGAACAGTGGGAGGAGCGTTTAGGGAGGTGTGAGGTTTAATAGAAACAATGACGGTAACTTTTAGTACAAAACCAAGTTACACACGGGTGCACTGCAAACACACCCCAACCTATAACGCAAAACAAACTCCCTGTGGCTGGCTTAATTAATAATGATGAGTCATTCCTGAGCTGCAGGAGGTCTGGAGGAGAGGCAGGCCTGGTTCTGTGAGCCAACTGCTTATCACACAGCTCACACACCTTTTCTTTCACTATTCTCGTGTTCCACGAGACTTAGAGGTCTGTTTCTGTTTAATACTTCACTGTACAGTCACCAAACGCAAGTCAACCCAGCTAATCACGCACATCCTCAATGTGACACAGGGACTCAGCTATCCACACACACATAATACAAATGGTCACGTGAAGACAGGCCGAGTCACAAATTGGCTAAGCAACCGAACCCTACCCTCCACCCTGGGACAGGCTTATTTTGTGTCAATGTATAAATACATAACACAGGATTTACAGTAGACAGAAAGGGGATAATCATCGTATCACCCCCAGCAAGTACAAGAAAACTACCCACAAAGACGAGCGTTCACGGGACAAATGCTACGTCATGCTTCGTGGCACTCACCTGTAGCTGCTTCTGGCCGAGGGAGAGCGGGGCTTTTTGGTCCTTTTTTTTTTTGCAGCACAAAAGTAAACCAAACCACATTAGTGTTATACACAAAGTGGAATACCGGTCAAAGGAAGCAAGCGTTCCCAATGACAACCCTTTACAAGAAGCACTAGGAATAGCGAACGCCAGTAGTAATGCAGCAGAGCAGGGAAGTCTGAGACGCTGCGAGTCTGAATATCTTACCCGCCTCAGAAGGAATTCCCAACTAATCAGAGGATTACTGAAGCCGAGCTGACTTTAAGACCTTTTGGACCAAAAGGGATTTTCCTTTAACTCACGATATCTCCTCAGTTACGGAAAGACCGCGGTCACCAAATCAGTATTTGTTTCGGACGTAATAATGCAGACGTGAGGTATCCAGTTCCCTAATATGTGCAGACATTTCAGTCCGACGGTCTCCTGCATGACTCCTGATTATAATGGAATTAAAGTTAAATTAAATTAGTACGATGCATATCCTTCCTATTACTTAGATTAAAAAACACATAGGAACATGCCTTTTTTCATTTGCTGCTTACTTTGCACTTAAATTAGCCAAACAACAGGCTACCTACCAAGCACATCTCTCCTGCACACATACAAAAGACTTAAGATGGCCTCTAATGATGAAGAATTGCTAAAAGGTGAATCATCAATGTCCAAAAGGAGCATTGATGACTGGGTGTAAGACTACTAGGACCAGCTAATATGTAAAGACACACCGCCTGGACAGTTACCTTCACTGCCTCTCCTACCAAACAGTGGGTTGGGCCATTCGCCACAGTCTTCAAGTCAAAGAGGGGAAAAGAGTATTTCAATATGAAATAATACATCATGACTTACCAGCTACTCCCACACAAAAAATAAACCTAGGACAATGTCTAAGCTAATTAATAACCACACTTTTACAGTACTCACAAATATACCACAGAGGAGAATATTATTGTAAAGAATTTACATTCACCAAAACCACATATTCAGGGGAATGATTGTGATGATGCACAAGAAGCACGGCATTTTGAACTTGACCCAATCAGCACTCGAAAAAAAACCTTAATCTAGGAGTTGTTGTCTTAATTAAAACATGACTCAGCAACCCCGTGGCCTATTTCCACTTCACTTTTTAATCTGGAATGGATTTGGGTGGATGTTTGTGGCAACATGTCGTGTTTCAACGAGTTGAAAAGCTGAAGCTAAACACGAGGACAGCCCAGTGTTTGAGGGTTTGTGTCGTGTTGATGCTTCAGTGAATGAATACACTTTGTTTCTGCATCACACAATCATCCAAAAACTAACTATGCTGAACTGAAATGAGCATTGGAACTGACGACGGCCTCCTGATGCATTGTGCCTCTCCGTGTGTAGCATCAGATGGAACATAGCAGCCACTACTTTAAATGCTTCAGCCCTGTAAGCATATGGACACACAGTTCAATGCTCATCACTTTACCTGCAGAGCCCTTTCTAACTGGCAGAGGGCTCATGCCTCCTTCAGGAACGAGGTGAAGAAGTGGGACAAAGGTGACAATGTTAACACCTGGATTGTGTATCTCGTGCTGTATCGTGCTGAAAAATTAAATATTTACTCTTCCAATGTGGGATTGTATTTGGTTGCTCTGACTGAAGCTCTGCTACCGTGACTAAAATGTCAGAAAGTTGATGCTTTAATTAGCTGTAGACAAGGCTCAAGTGTGATGTTTTACCTGAAGGTGGTGGTGGGCGTTGAGGAGGTGCTGGGCGGGCTGGGGGGGCGTGGGGACGAGGGGGGGGCGGGCGTTTGGGCTCTGAAGATGTGGGGGCACCAGGCTGGAAGTCCACAGGAGGCCCTAGAAGGAAAACAAGAGAAATCTAAAGATTGTGCTTTCACAGAGGAATATATACAAAGCCATGAGCCCTAGTTTTCTGAAAGTTGAATAGACAAACAACTCATCCTACAATTTGTTCCACAGCTATGATTCAGTGTTGACCAAAGAAAAGGAGGAAGCTAACACTGCACACATTTGAATACCACACCATGAAGCATGTTTCAGAAGGAAACAAGTCGTTTACTGGAAGACACACTACACGCCCTCTAACACTAAACATCATCACGCACTACATTTTACCTGGAATGTCTCTCCTCAGTGATGATGGGCTTAACTCGTCTTCAGGGCATCACAAACAGAACAGAATTATAGTTTATAGACTGGAGCCTGGGCTGATTCATGGACGGTACTTTTAGCAACCTGATTCCAGGTGTGTGTCAAGATGCACATGTTTTATGTTTTTTTTTTTTTTAATATATATATATATATATATATATATATATATTCAGTATATACCTTGTGATGGGCGGGAGGGTTGACCTCGAGCAGACCTGCCGGGGGCGACAGGCTCCCCCTGGGTGGGGGAGTGACAGGGACTACTGCGGGGGGAGGGGAAAGGGGAGGATAGAGGGCCGGTGCCTGCTCCAGGCTGAAGGTGCTGGGGAAGGATCTCCTCCACCTCCTCGTCCACATCACCTGGTTATTAAAGGCAGGAATTCATAAACATTCTATAAATAAACTGAGATTTCTGAAGACGAGGATTAGGATTGATTGGCTGTCATCCCTCACCTTCCATATCATAATCATCGTCGCCCATGTCCGTGTCCTCAGCAAGCAGGGTGGAGCTGGCCGAGGTGGGGATGCTCCCACAGATTCTCTCCACACTCATCTCCTCCTCCAGACTCTTGATCCAGCCCGAACTCTTCAGACGGATGTCAATCAGTTTGCCGAGGACCTACGATGTAACCAAGAGCCACAGACAATAGACTAGTTACCAGGTACACAGTTGACTTATGGAGCATTTGTATAGCTTCGAAGTAATGAACACAATCAGCGATGACTTACAGTGGAAGCGCTGAGAGAAAGCGCAGCAAGAGCAGAGTAACCTTCCAGGAAAGTCACCCACATCTTCTCCTCAACAAACCTGCATAAACAAGGACTTTGTCAATGCAGTCCCACCGTCTGAAGGTGATACGTGTCCGTCTGTGTCGTGCTTTCAAGCTCACCTGATGAGGATGACCTCTCCGAATTGAGCAAACTTGTCCAGCAGCTCGTCTATGAGAGCATCGTCAAAGTAGTCGTCGGGGCCGGAGGAGCAGAGGGACACCAGGATGGTGCCGTCCGGAGGCCCCTGCAGGGCGATGACTTCTTTGTAGACCTGGTGCCGCGCGTCCGGGTCCACCTCCAGGATGTCCACGTCCATTATCGACACCACGGGCCTAAAGAAAGACGGGCGACGTTGAGGAAGGCGATGTTTGATTAAAGAGAAATAAAATATATTCGTTTACAACATTGTTATATTTCACTTTGAGAAGGAAATGCAGCAAATTACACTGTTGTGGTGAAACGCTAACAGATCTATCTTGTTATTTACCTGTGGTCGGAGGTCTTAAGCTCAGCCCTGCCATAGTACTTCAGAGTGCCTGCGCTCCAGGGGTTATCTGGATCGTCGTCATTCTCCCCGGATGTAGAAGCTGCTCCAACTACATTCATCTCCTCAGCTGCAAAACATGCACAGATGCATATAAAATACCCCTTTGTAACCTTTCCCAATTAAGACAAAAGCCAGATGTCAGTGGGGTTTTTGTCCAGTGGAGAAGGGGCTTAGGTGTAAAACATATTTTTGCCATTGTTTTAACTTTGTCTGTGTTGGTTCGATTTATCTGCAGAGGCTCTGCACCTTACCTGTTTTATCAAAGTTCCACTTCCTCCTCTTCCAGAGTATGCGGTCCGTCCAGGCTGGTGTGCGGCACTTCTCACTGGTGTCATAATCTTCTGAGAAGAGGTCATACTTGTAGGTGGGCGCAAAATCCAACTTCCCCTCGATAAAACCTCGGAACACCTGTTGAAGAAGTTTCTGCATTAGTACGCGCGATAAAAAAAAGGCTCGATGTTGCGGTACACCGTTTTCTGTTGAGAGGAAGTGAAAGTTATTAGTGCTGTAAACATGCACGTGTGCTGCAGGTCCTACCAAACCAGCATTCTTCTGGTCCAGCAACTGGTCCCCAGCTGTCAAGGCTTCCCAGTTTTGCTGTTTGATTAGCTCTTTCACTTCTTCGTTGGGCAGGCTGATCCGATAGTTAAAGTCTCCACACCAGAAGACGTAGTCATGCGAGTACAGCAGACGACCCTGGGCAAGGACAAGACGAATGCGGTTACCCTTAAGTAATGCAGAAACGTGTTTGAGGAATCACTTGCTGATGTCATGTTTGTCGTTTTTTTTACCATGGGGAAGGTGAGTCTGCGTGTGATCTCACTGTAGTCGTCATTCCTCTCCTTGACCTGTGACTGGCCAGCAGCAAAGTGGGAGCAGACGAAGCAGATGCTGGTGGTATGGAAGAGCAGGCGGATGGCCACACCTCCTTTGTTGCCTGTAGCCCCGCCCATCCCGGTTTTGACAGTATCTACAGCAACATCCCTGAGAGAAACATATCGAATGCAAACAGTTACATTTGCTACAATAACCGTGCGGTATGACTAGACGCGTCTCTCGTGGCAATGCGCACAGTTCCTACCTGATGAAGGGCGCGTGCTGTGGGCGGATGAAGACGAACAGACACACTCCCACCAGCTGCTCTGAAGCCAGCAGCACATACTTGTGGTCCCGCGATATGTTTTTTTGTAGCTCAGCTGCCCATAGTTTCTGGTTTGTAGTGCTGAGACAAAAACAGAAATATGTGTCATAATGCAGAAAAAGAGGAGAAAAAACCACCGCACAAAGAATAAAAAAAGGTGATCACAAAAAAAAGAAGTTACTAAATCTTCTTTGTCCGTCCTCAAGATATAAAACCAAAATAATGAACATAATATCAGCCTTGTCAACTCAGGCCTAAGCATCCTTTTTCAGGATTTTATTTCTACTACTATATATGAACTGTTCATACCATTTTGAATGTAATTAACACAGTTAAATATTTCATAATATTTATTTTTTAAAGTGAAACTACTGAGCTAGAGAGAAAGATGTATAGAGCACAGATAAACACTTCTTCTTCTATGGCCCATTGGTAAAAAAAAACAAAAACAGACCGGCTGGAATCTTGCACACATACCTCGCACTGACAATATTGCCAGCATTTAGCTCAACCATTTCCTCAAAACCGATGGCGAAGATATCTATGGGGTTTGCTTTGCTGTCTGTAAAGAGAAAGAATACACAATGTTCAACACACGTCTGATAAAAATGATTATCATTTATCCACCTAGCAAATGCTCAGTTTGAACAATGCCAACTGTTGTTGATCATTTAGCTCCCTGGACCTCATGAAGTAAATATAGATATAATTCAGTGACTTCCTGAAGTCTTGCCTTTAGTGTTCAGCAACCAGCAGAGAAAGTTACTGCACTATGCCAAGAAATAGTCTGGCCCATAACCCTCCTTTAAACCGGAGATCTAACATGCTGGTAGCCGTATATTGTTTCCTTCTGACAGAGCCAGGCTAATTATTTTGTGCTAAGCTAAGCTAACCGGCTGCTGTCTATAGCTTTATATATATATTGTACAAACATGGTATTGTTCTTTTTTAATTTTCAGGAAGAAAGTGAATAACCATACTTCCCAAAATGTCAAACTATTCCTTTCAGCAAATTAAAAAAAGAGCAGCCCTAAAAACACATAACCTCCAGACATGACATTTACCACCAGTGAGTGCAGAGGAACAAACACCGACATACCCTGGAACTCAGGATGCCCCGCCTTCTTTGGAGCATCCAACAGCCAGTCGTTGAGCGTCTGGTTGCGGAAAGCAATGCTGCGAAACTGTTTACCCCCGTTGACATTCCAGGTGCCGGTGCACACCCGGATCTGCTTGGGCCGTGTGTATTTATGGTAGTTCTGACACATTCCCAGCAATACTCTCGGGGAGGCTGTAAAGGGGAGGAAAGTAGGATTAGAGTGTAAAATGGTTGAGTACGTGTGTCTGCAGGAAAGGAAGGCATACAGGGGAAACAAAACAAAAATCTAATCAAAACCAATGGGAGAACATCCAAATACAACAGAGGAAGACTGAAACAATGTCCTAAAACATGGGTCATGGAATAAAGGACACAAACCAGTTGAAGTACAGATGACAATCAAATCATCAACTTTGGTAATTGGTCATTTCTGTCTTTAAATTTCCACTCAAGGTAATGTTCAATTTCATTGCAAAATTCTGCATTCTTTTAATCACTATTGCGAAGGCCTGATGATGTGCGACAGACAGAGTTGAACCACTACCAAAGATGGGTCATAAATGAATGAACAATAATGAGCAGCAAACACAAATGATAGGACAACTATGTGGGATGAAGAGATCCGTCCACTGCGGGCAGTCTGGCAGTTACTATACCTGATTGTAAGACGGGCTCAGTGACTAAGATTGTGAGCAGCGGGGTGGGGGGGGGGGGAGAGGGGAGAGAAGGGCGGGTTAACCAGTGCTTTAACAGATAATTCGGTCAGCATTAATCTAACAGGGACAGAGAGCTGACACTTGGAGATTACGCTCGCAGACCAACCCTTCTATCGTGCAGAGAAGCTTCTGGCTAGCAGGGCTACAACAGATACAGGTCCAAACTCAGCCAAAATATGTAAACTCCTCCTCCACTTGGGAGGAGAAGAGAAGATTTTCTTAAAATGACAAAATATAGATGCTTGGAATACGGAGCAAAAACTTGCATTTGTAACACTATTCATTTGTACATTTTAGGGAAGATGTGATCTGTTGACTCAGTAAAGTAATATATCATATGTTGTAAAGAATTACCATAAAGACTGGAAGTGGTGAGCAAGGCCCGAGCCTTGTCGGCCAAATCGCTGTTGAGTGTGGAGCCCAGCCTCAGGATGTCTATCGCCTCCTGCTTAGAACTGTCAAAGAAGTTGTTCTGGATGGTCCTGGTCACAGAACGAGCGCCATCTTTTAGCTTTCCCACCTACAAACAGCCACAAAAAAGAAAAAAAAGAAAAGTTATTAGCTATACTCTCACTTTGTGTGGAAAAAAAAAAAAAGTTTGTACTTTCCACTCCAACCATGGAAGAGAAGAAAAGGAGGAACACACGAGACGGATCCAAGTCATTTGACGAACCGGGAAGAATCAAAACTTCACTGATTGATGTGCAACATGCCACATGGTGATCATTATTATTGATTCCTCCAAGTTCATCCAATCAAGACAGCAGATGTAACCAGATAATGTAGGCGACAATAGAAGATGATACTGTAGTGAAACAACTTTTATTTTTTAGCTCATTTCTGTGGATCAGTAGAACGCTGTGGAGTAGAACGCCATGGAGCGTTCCACAGTTGCCAGGTCAAGACAGTATGCATCACACGTATACCTCAAGGGGAATAAAATCAAGTTTTTGTGTTTTTTAAATAAAAGAGGTCCCAACTATCCCATCCTCCACCATCATCATCATTTAACCCACAGACACTGAAACCAACAACGCCCCAGAAACAGCTCAAAAACGACATCGACTGCCTTGTTCACTTACCACAGAGGTAGAGAGGTCCAGACAGCAGAAAGAGATATCACACAAGAGTTTAGAAACTGAAGCACACAGTTCTACACACAGAGGAGATCCACTCTGTCACTGCATGCACAACTAGGCATTGTTTTAAGTACCATCTATGGTTTAAGATCACATTCCAAAGGTAACACTTTAAATCCCCAGTTCTGTTGAATTTGAGGGTCACAATTTGTGCCATTTCTTTAAGTAGATATTCATTTAACGGGGCAAAACTTTGATGTACTTGGAAATCTTGCCTGAGCTAAAGCTTTATTTTTCTTTTCAGTTGGAATAGTCTATCACGTGTAAGTGTTTATCAACATTGTCTATTCCAGAGTAGCTAATTAAATATCAACCCTTTACATCTTTTAGGAACAAACAGTAATTCAATCTTTAAGTCCATTTTGCTTCATGAGAAGACAAATATAAACCAAATAACTAAACATATAACTGATTCAATACTACGGTTTGCTCAATTTGCTTTTATCAAATGCTGTCATTCACTTCTTCATGTCCCCAGACAGGATCAACAATTTGGTGGACGTTGGCTGAGCTGTACCATAAAGTGCTAAAATTAATCAAATCTGACAAAACCGTTAAAATCCTACATCAAGTGCAGCTATGATAACCTGCTGTCTCTTAATAATCAGGAAAATGTGAACTTGTATTTTTTGTGTGTATTTGGTGAGTCTCTTTCGTGTACCTTGGCCTTGCCATCCAGGGCACCAGTGCCCGCGTAGATCTTACTGACGGAGTCTCCATTGGCAGACCACATGGTCCTAAAGACCTCCTGGAACCTGGCCACCAGCTGGGGTTTCTCTGTCAGACTCATTTCCTCCAGCTGCTTGGGCAGCATCTGGTGAGGAACGGGGGCGTTTAGACTATGAGCGTCAACATTAAAAACAATGGACTTTGACTATCTTATAACAATAGAAGAGCATACTGTGACTATTACCTCAAGGGCAAAGAAGGCCTGCACACTGTTGGTTCTATCCAAACAGTCCAGGCAGTTGGTCCTAATGGTCCCACCCTGAGTCCTAAAAAGACACAATGTTCTGACGTTAAGGATCAATAACAAACATTGCATTGACTACTACTTACTCCATATTAATTCCTCACCTCACGATGCCCGTCTCTGCAGAGTAGTAGAAGAACCCGCACTCTTCTGTGAACTTGTTGAGGTAGGGTTTGAGGACACTGTGGAGTTTGTCCGCTTTGCCCCCCTTCACATTTTGATGGTAGTCAAAGTTCACCATCTTCACTGCTGAAGCGTGCTCTGATGCCTTCAGGTGACTCTGAGAGAGGAAGAAGACTTATTTACAGAAACTTTAACTGAATGCAAAAAATGTTGTGCATGCAAGGTGGGTTGCCTGTACCTACGAAGCAACACTAGTTTGCATTCATGAACACAAAACCCAAAGGCTTGAGCTCTAAGGAAACCTTTGGTTAGAGTATGTGAAGATGCAGCTCATGTTGTAAAACGAGGGCTCAGTTAACAGCTGGCAACACTATCAACTTCATTTCCTCAATGGAAAGATTGGCATTACAGATAAAAACTTGGCTAAACGATGACACACAAGGAACCATCATATTTCACACGGAGTGAAAATAAAGAGCTGCCCTGCATTTGTTATTGTGCACTTAAATCCACACCTGAGGACACAACATTTCTGGATATGACAACCAGGAAGTGCCTTTAATATTAATCAACGAAATGCAGCCTCAAGGTACAGTAATTGGGATACTAATCTGTTTTGATGCACACTATTTGCTGCCAGTAGTTCTTTGTCAGAAGTATCAGATAAATGTCTTTTAGTACATGTCAGTGTGAAGGGACGGAGGACGGCTGCTCTCACCTGAAAAGCTTTGCTGAGCATGTGTTCCCCTTCCTTACTCCCAAGCAGGTTGATGATCACCTGTTTACCATACAACCTCCGCAGTGTAGTAAAGTGTCTGGACAACAAATATACAAATCACATACTAATAAGCATCCATAAAGGTCTCAAATTACATCACAGACTAATAGTGCATACATTCTAACATTTATCGTAACACATTAAAGTCCCCATGCTGGGTACCAATGCTTGAGCTTCATAATTACACACAGTGAATGCTGCAGCCCCGATGTATATATCAACAATGGCAAGAAATGTTGATTTAAATTCATTTTTGGAGTCGGCAGGGAAATATTATGGTCAAAAGTCTTTTTGCTTATTTGTATTTCAATGCATCTTTCTTCAGCTGTGACATTTGCTCGCTAAAATAGGAACTACAACTACGTATATGAAGGGGATTCATCCAAAGATGCACTTCGGTAGGGATGTGTTTTTCGCAGAAGATGTTTTAAAGACTGGAGGGACAAAGGGAGGGACACTTAAATAACGGCGGGCCTCTGAACAAACTGCTTCAACACATTGCAGAAATAGATGGGGCGGATAGCAGACCGAGGCTACTGTTCGTGTTTATAAAAAGATGTTCTTGTTAGCTTTGTACCATCTCAGGAATTTCAACACAGAAATCTTGTCACTGCAGAAACTGACGAGATAGAACAACGGATGGATGAGTCACAAGTCCGGAGAGATACTGAGAAAGACTGGAAGCATTGCCAAAGACTTGGTGTGAAGAAATGACTAATTTGTTTCAAAATATAACTGGTGTACCATCTGACGTGCTTGCCTCGGCATGTTCAGGATACTGAAAAGCAAAGGGGGGGGGGGGGGGTTACGTTGCTATCTGGGCTCAGCTCAGTCAATCCTCACAAGTCCACGATATCGAGAACTGAAAGACGGTGAACTTCACAGAGTTCCAGCATCACCTATGGTTACAATGATGATTTTGGGGGAAATCTTTACAGACTTCCATTGTTTTGTTATCAGACTGACGGCTTCGTGAGCGTAGCTGTGTTGTGGTATTTGCAAACACTGACCCACTGTCTGTAAAGAAACTAGAGAAATGTTGGGTTTGTTTGTTTGGGTGATCGGTTTTAGATTAAAAAAAAATGGGGATGATTCCAATTTAGGAGGCACATATTTGTCACTGGCCACCTGGTGTCTACAATTCACTGCCAGTTAAGGCAAGATGAGTAACCAAAGACCCAATCCAACGCTTTTTCTCTCCCCAACAGTCAGAGCTGATTTTCAAAGGATACAGTTACTGGGATAAAATGAGAGAATAGTCTCTGGATCTAAACTATATAAAAATAAAACAGGGGTTGATCAAGGACTACTAATGTGTCCTTTCGGTTCCCTTCAATAAACCGGCCTCTGAGGACACACTTCAATTAACAAGTTCTCCTCTCAGAGTCCGGAGAGCATTTCTCTGTTGCACCTTGGGCGGTGACTGCAGGAGACAAAGTATTAATGTGTTTCCCCTGCTCCTCAGAGCGATGGTAATCTGTTGAAGGCCAGATAAAGCAGCTGGAGACTGCTACACATTATTAACATGCACATACACACACACACAGTGCGCTGAACATTTACCTTTCGAATGCTGGTGCATTTGCCTCGAATCCCCTTGAGAGTTTGACACGATGAGAGCCGACCTGCAGGTCAGAGACATCCAGAGGAGACAAAAGAAAAAAGACACAAGTCACGGTGTTCTTCTTCACTTCAAATCAAATCCTTAGAAAGGAAAGTTGCACACACACACACACACACACATACACACATACACATGTTGCAGATGACCAGAAAACCTGGTGGTAAAATTGGGTAAGCAATTTTGGATAACAGTGGAAACGAGACCTTCATGGTGGAAAAAAAAAAGATGGACAACAAGGCATAGGACCACAGAAAAACAGGGTCAGCAAAAGATTTGTTCATACAAAGACACTGAGCAGCAGAGAGATCTTGTTGCCCGTCACCTTTATTCACCTCTTTTCCCAATTCCTCACTGCCTAAAACATTCCCAGCTTTTATTCATCTTCTTTTGCTTTCTAAAATATCTTCTCGTCTCTGATCTAATGTCATCATCCCTCCTGCAGCATTCAGTCTCTGCCTCCTCTTTCTCCTACTGGTCACAAGCATCAGACGTGCATTCTGGGTCTAAACCAGTCAAAGAGTATTACCACTGCATTGGCATTATCTGCCCACATTTCTGCATGTGCCCGGCTTGGTTTTGGCATACGATGCTAAATATCTTTGCTCCATGCTGCTGCCATTTTGTTCCTCCTTGCTTCACTCTTTCTACTGTTGTGCATGTCTATGCTATGCATATTTAATAACTTCCTGAGATGGCATCTGAAAAGCACTCGAGTTACAGCTTCGATCAAAACCTCTTCTCATCTTAGTCCAACTCTGCAGCAACAGATAACACCCGGAGGGAAATTTGTGAAATCAAGCGCAATTAATGCACACAAAACATTTAAAGGTTACATATGTCATGACTATTAATCATAGACATTCGTCAACCAATTCATTAGATATTTGATTGATTGTACTTTTTAAAGTACAAAGCATATTTGTGAATATTATTGTGACGCCACATGCGATCATATTCCACTGATGCGTCTTTCCCCAAAACAACCATAAAATAATGATACACTAAGATTTTGTCATCAAGCAGGACTCTAATAGACTAAGCAGGGGAAACCCTGCCACTTTACCGATTAACATGTTTCATAGTAGGGTAGTTAACCACTAGTTCTAATGTAAACTAACTGTACCGAGATCAATAACTCTGCTTCTGGATCAAACTGAAACTAGCCATCCTGCCCAGGGAATGAATCTCAGAGTAAGGAAAGGGGAGCGTGAGCGTAAGCCTACAAAGCCACAAGGGGAATAACAGCTAAAACAGTGCTTTTAAAAGCAGGAAGACTACAGTTCTGTCTGAAAACAACCCCGAGCCCACAGCCCTGTGTTTTGACCAAACTGTAGATAGGTAGAAAAATGTGCTACAGTTTCCTGAGGAATAACAGCAGCTTAAGTGAAAGGGAAGTGGTTAGGGGATGTTTTCAGACCAGGCTCTCACCTGAACAAAGAAGTCTGGGAGCTGAGGAAAACAGAAGAATGCCCTTTACCAACCACTACATCTATCGTTAACCTCTCCCACGTCTGACCTAATCCACTAGTCTGTGCAATGTCAGGACAAGGGCCGGAGAATCCCAGCGATGTTGCTGAGTCATTGGCATTGCACAGAGAAAGCCCTATCTGCAGTATGAAAGCGCCAGCACCCGAAAGAGCCAAAAAAACACCGCAAAACAAAAAGGTTGTACCAGGTGGGGGTTCTCATCCATCCTATTAGGGTGCCGATTCTCATTCAGGTGCAACCAAACACCCTTAATGGACTTTTTCTGAACACAGCATGGATACAATGTGTTAAAACTAGGATAAAGATACCCAGTGTAATTACAAGGAGATGTTTCATTCCCCACATATAGCCAAATACAGTGTATTTTTATTAAAGTGTTTTGTATTGTTCTGCAGGAGCTCCACATGGGCCTCATCAGAGTTCAGTGTTTACACTTACACTGTGCAATCAACTGGGACTGATTGAGCCTTATCTGCAACGGAAGCTTTAGGATTTTCAGATAATGTGGCTAAAAGTAAAACCTCACCGTCACGATTCGATGCTGGCTTTATAGGATAGATTTAGTTTCCATTACCTGGATTCCTGGCTGTTCCCAGAACAGAGGAATGGACCCACGGATCTGTATGAAGGAGGAAACTTTGTCGTCCAGGAAAATAACCTGTTCAAAACAAGAGGAACGTTTGGTTCAGCTCATTAGCAAAACCTACATTAACGTTACAGGAGGATTGAAAGAACAAAAATAAAACATAGTATATCCTTTATAAACTGTTAACTAACTAGAACACTTGACAATAAAATATAATCCAACACAAAAACCATGCAGCTACCGCCACACCTATGAAGCTTCTCATGTTTAATTTCTATTTAGACTTCTACAGAGACGTTGAATGACCTCTATGGTAGTTTTTGAGACAGTAAATATTGGTGTAGTTGTACTGCATTACACTGTATTTGAACTGTAGTAGTTCCAGTTATTCTGTCCAACGTACAGCTTCGTGTTTGTTTGCTGAAACAGGAACTATAAAAAAACCAGACAATGCAAATCCAGTCATTTGCCACAATGAAGAGCCGGGAAGTAAGCTTGCATATTCAAATATACAGTAAAAACAAAATACTGATCGGACTGATGTTAACTAGATATAGAAGTTGAACTATGGCAAAAGTAAAAGGCTTCAGACTTGTGCTGATATATCATCATCACTAGCACCATGCTGCTGGTTTCCCTGTCGGGGTTTAATGTTACCTATGAATCTATAATTCATTTTGTTGAACAATGTCCTTCGACAGTGACGGCACGAAATGCTCGAGCAATAATCGTCTCACCGCTAAGGCCGTACCAGGTTTTCTCCACACCAGTCAATAGATAACCAGTGTTTAAACAGACTGTATGAACCAAGGCCATGTGACCATGCACACAGAGCATATAGAAACTGATTCAATGAAACTGTCAAAACCCGTCACCTGTTCAGTCTCCACAAAGTTGGCCACCTGTCCGTCGTCGTTTGTTCCGCGGACGTTGAATCGCGTGCCGGCCCGCTCCGAGCTGAGGCGGGAGAAGATGCAGGCCTTGGCCTGTTTGTGGCCCGCATAGATGGTCCTGACCTCCACACCGCCACACATCAGCCTCAACAGCCAGTCGTCACAGTTTACTCCGTAGTGTTTCAGGTGCAGGTGCAGAGATTGGTTCCTATTGAGTAATCAAGACACGACAGTAAACACACAAAACAAATTCAGTATGAGCAGTGAATTTTGTTGCAAAGTTGCAAATCACACATTCGGCAGAAACAATTTCAACCGGAAAGACTGTATTTAGTTCATATCCACTATTTCAGAGATTGTTAGAGCCAAACACATGCCTACTACTCTCTTTAGAACAGTAATCGTTTCATGCTTTTACCAAAAGAAGCGGTTATCTGTCGTGTCCTCTAGGATCCTGCGATGTGCATTGAGACTCAAGTCCATGCTGACACCAGTGGCAGACCAGGCAAAGTAGAAGTGTCCCGAGTTCAACACCTTTCGCACTTCAGCGATCCGGTCCTCGTCTGCTTGATCATTCTTCAGGGATATGAAATCTGTCTGTGTGACCCTGAAAACCTCAGAATCCTGCACCTTCCCCACAGAGCTGCATCCGGTCACAACCACCAGACTGTGGAGCATGGAGTCACCTGCAGAAGCAAGTGGAGTATGCCCAAAAAAAAAGAAAGAAAGGGACATGAGAATGAAAACAACGTATATGATGAATTGTAAAGAAAAAGGATAAACGCAAGCAGTACATTAACAGATATGAAGCACTGCATTGAGAAAAGATACAATAAAACATTTGGCCTAAGAGACTGGACAGGAAACAGTTAATTAAACTTCTTTAAAAGGAAAATAACCAGCCAGTCAAATCTCAGCCATCTTTAAGACCGAGCTTCAATGTTTTACGCAGCTTTTTCCCCTTTGTTGTGATAACAAGAGCCTTCAAGGTCTGATGGAGGGCAGGAGAAAGCAGCTTAGAAGTAAGAAGCGACAGACCAATGAACCAAGAGGCCTTCGCAGCTACACTGGGGTCACAATCTGGCCTGTATCCAGGAAATGTCTGCAACGCGGAGCAATGAACAGAGAAGATGCAGCCGTAGCTTACCCAGGTTTAAGCGGAGGACGCCCAAGATGCCATAGGCATCGAGAATCTTGGCATATGAGTTTTTAATGGCCTCCTTCTCTGCCGCCGCTGGAAGACAAACAGCAATTTAGGGGGAATAGTTGCTAGTGCCTGTGACGTAATCATAGTACAAAAATCACATCTAAAGCATCTGTCATTACAGTGCAATCAAACAGGATGGCTTACACAGGACGGCAACAGCCCCGGATTCAAACATGAGGCATTCTTCCCGGCTCCTGGTCTCCACTAGGACACTGTAGGGAGGGGGGTCCAGCTTGTGGTAAATGCGATATCCCTTGCTGAAGGCCATTGTTGATCCAAGATGAAAAAACTACGTTATTACCTGGGAACCGAAACAAAAGAATGAATGAGGATATCAGATAAGAGACACTCGCAATCAAATGCAACATCTGTAATTCAGTGGCTGGTAGAATGCATGACGGTGTATTGATTATTGATGAAGATGTTACCTGTGATATGACCATACCATAATACATATCTATCTATCTACATCCCTTGTTTTGTAGTGTTTGCGCAGCTAGCGTTAGAACTGGACCAACAATTAAGAGTTTTCAAAAACTAAATAGAAATACTGTGTGTAATACAATTTTGGGGTTGAAATCTTTTACATTTTAATGTACATTAATGTACATCCTGCACATTATGGAAATGTATCGTATTATTAGGCAACATTACAAATTACGTGATATTGAAATCTTTCATTGGGAAATCAGTTCCCGGACATAGCTAAGGGCCCAAAACATATGGCAAACTAATCTTTTAAACACAATTTCGCTGGTGGCCCGGAGATTATGAGCAGCACGGATACTGTGTACGATAACGTTAGGCCGGGGGACTGAAACATCATCCATCCTGACACGGGCAGTCACGACTTCATAATGCTGTGCAGCAGCCGAAGCTAACGCTAACGTTGCCCTGCACACGTAGCTTCATAGCTAGGTTTAGTGACGAGAGAAACCAACGAACAAAACGTCAGTGATAAACTGATAAAACTGTCCTGCGCCTATCTAATGCTAGCTGATACCGTTAGCTAAGTTAGCTAAATCAATCACAGGGGTGATAGCTATGATTCGCTATCTGACGATGTTTTGATGGTGGTACAACCTGCACGTCCGGGATGATAATCTCACATTTACTAATACGTTGACTGTTCATCATATAACGGTTAGGCGTGTGCATACGTTTGAATGTCAGCTCTATCTCACTATTGTACATTTAATTTAAAATGCATAGAGGAAGGGGGTGAGGATTTCGACTTACCGTCTGCCCCCGCCGGGTTGATATTCCGCTGTCACAACAAAATTCTTCCCGGTGTGTTGGCAAAATGGTACATTCCGACACTGGGCACGCCTACGTCACGGTTCCGTAATACCTGAACTGGTACCGTGCGCTTTTGTACAAGGACAACGGAAGTAAAATATTAATAGTAAATATGTATACATACATATATAATATAAAAATGTTCACGCTATATCCAGTGAACGTTCCTTGGGGGGAGTATTTCCAACACACGTTAATTTGCAATAAAGACTCTGGTTACAGAAAATCACAAATGATCTCGCCCGATTTTGCTCATGATTGACAGCTCCACCGATCCAATCAACACAGCCTTGAAAGACTGCTGTCCAATCGTATACGATGAAGGGCGGGACGTCGTGTTTCATAATAATAACGCCGTAACTACGTGCTGTACACTTCTCTCTTAAACTGGAGACATACCTCGGCTCTCAAACCGATGTATTGCAGGGTTTTATTACTCGATCAAAAGATGATCCAGGCGTCTATTTAAGAGGTAAGAGTTATACAGCGTGTTCTTACGAGATATTACGAGAAAACAAGGTAAGGTTAAAGGCTAGGCTGTTGTGTCCATTGTTTGTTGTCTTGACCTAGCACTGCTCATCCTGCAGTATTTACATAAACAACATGTGAAGTAACGTTACAGGGTTATTATCTTGTATTCCACTTAATGTATCGAACTGTCAGATACTGTTGGATCAATAATGTTCTTGTAATGATCGATGATCCTCAAAAACAGCCAAACAAATATTATCTAAACTTCCACGTAGTCTTTGGACTTGACTCCTGCATAATGTTGAAGAAGAATACCGTGGATGTCATTGACAAGCACAGCGCATGTTGAAGGGACGTGTTGAAGGTTGCAATTTACAACAACAGAAATATCTTTATTGAGCTGTTAAATATTAAAAGTTATTTCCGATTTGTGTTCCATTGTTGTACAAATATGCCAGTGTGTTATTGTCATGTACATACATCTGCTCAGAAATGCACAGTTAAGCTGTCTTGTTTTTTTTTTTACCGTGATGTCTGTGACCATGTTAATCTCTAAATGTGTTCTCCTCATCTTTTTTTTTTTTTTAGGGAATATTGCAGCCCCTCAAAAATGAAAGGTCTTTACCTCGTGGAGCCTGTGGTTGCACTGTACGCTTTCTCCAGTTTTCTCATCTATCCTCTTGTGCAGCAGTATGTGTACCGGAGGCTCTGGCAGGAGCTGACAAACACCTCCTATCCCAGCTCTGACAATGCCTCCAGATGTGCAGATAACAGCAGCAGCAACCATTCCAGCTACCACGAGGTTAGTCACTAATCACTGGATGTAAGAGAGCATGTATTTAAGTAACTCAAGGTATTCTCAATTACCAATATTTTGAACAAGTAGATTTGAGATTATGTAATGGCGTCAATACTTTTACTACTACTATTATATTATTTGTGAACTATATTACACAGATTTTGTGACGCAGCCTCAGCCATTGTCATGTGAGGCTTTCTGTGTGTTGAGAAATAATACTGACAGAAAAAAGCCGGGCTTGACAAAGTAACTTGGAGCTCAACAAGACCGTAACTGTCATGACACAGTATGCATTTTCCTATAAACCTTTCAAAACCCCTCTTGCAACAAAGCTCAGGTTAATATTCACATAACCACAGCAACTAAGACTGCAGCACACCGAGGTATATAGATGAAGAACGAAACAAAGCAGAGAAGTGAGAACAAACACGTTAAACCTGTTTTTTTACATTTTGGAAAATAGCCACTTTCTGCACCTGTAGAACGCTTTGTTTCCTTTGGCCCTGAATAAGAAAACCTCACATGACGCACAAATGGCAGTGCATTTCACGTTGCTTTCATTTGCCGGATAATTGGGAACTTGAGGGTTGTTATTTTTTCCTTCTATGAGAGTCTGTTGTCAGCCCATACATGATTTTTAGACTTAACCATGCTCTCTCTTTCTGTGTTTTCAGGAGGTACAGAGGCAGGCATCTCTCTTCTCCCTCTACACAGAGCTCTTCTCCACAATCCCCTCTTTGGTTGTCACCCTCATGCTTGTGGCCTATAGTGACCGGGGAGGACGCAAGGTCACGATCATCCTGCCTTTGATCGGCACGTTGATATACACCTTGGCCTTCCTGACAGTGTCCTACTGTGAGCTCAACATTTACTTGCTGATCATCGCCTCGCTCCTCAGTTCTCTGTTTGGCGGCTTGGGCACATTTCTGGGGGGCTGTTTCGCCTACATAGCGGACTTGTGTGACGATGACCGACAGAAGACGCTGCGCATGGCTGGAGTGGACATGATGATTGGCCTGTTATCTGGCGTGGCTTCGATATCCACAGGCTACTTCCTGACAGCTGCAGGCTTTAACTGGCCTTTCCTAACCTCTGCGTTGTTCCAGTGTTTGATCCTGCTCTATGCGATTTTCATCCTGCAAGAGACTGTGACGAAGGCTCCCGCTGATTCCGTTATTTTAGATGGGTCTCCTCAGCGCTCAGCCATGAAACAAACCATCTATGGGATCTACTACATGTTTGCAAGGGCCAGCCGCAGGAGCAAGACTACCTTGGTCCTCCTGATACTCATCTTCACCAGCTTCTCCTTCGCCTATGTTGGTGGGATCTCCCTGATGACGCTATATGAGCTGAACAAGCCACTCTGCTGGAATGAGATTTTGATTGGCTACGGCTCAGCACTGTCTTCCACAGTGTTCCTGGCCAGTTTTGTGGGAGTGTCAGCGTTCACGTACTGTGGTGTGCCACAGCTGCTCATTGTCCTGATGGGGATCCTGTCCGTCATATCAGGCATGGTCATGTTGCCGTTTGCTAAAACCACTTTCCTGATGTTCATGGGTGAGAAAAACTTCGATAACAACAGTGCTGCTTGAAGATAACCAAAGCCTTATCTGTCAGTTGTTTACTAGCTCAAGTATGTGCAGAAACAGAATCAGAGAAGTTCGGTGATGTTGAATAGTTTGATGAGGGAATTGGGGATTATTAATAAGTTTCATCTCTTACTGTGTGTCAGATATTAGAAGTTGAGTAGTGCAGTTATGTCCAGGAGTTGTGGCCTTGTAGCCCGGTTTAATAACTAGCTAATATGCCTCTGTATAGCTAACCATCACATATTTTCATTTATGTAGATCTTTTACAATATATGACATGAAGCTCAAAGTGATTTACTTGAAATAAATAGGTGTAAAATGACATGACATATCATATTAAACATACCAGACACTTTCAGTACAGACTATAATATCAATGAGTAATATAAAACAGAAAATACATTAACATAGCAAACATAGTTTGCACAGGTTACTAATTGACAGAACATGTTTTGCATTGTATGCAGATGAAACTATATACTTATGATATATTATCACTGCATTGTTTATTTATATTGTCATGTAGCCATTATGCAGATTAGTTGACTTGAATCTATGTCGTTTTTCTTCTCTTTTTTTTTACAAAAATAACCACAAACCACTGTGAAATATGAATTTACTTTAATGTGTGCATTTTTACAACTTCATGTGGTTACATTCTGCAGTATGATGTGTAATATGAAGTCTGTCTTCTGATATTTGTTACCACAGTGAGGGTGCCAATGCTTCTGTCTGTCATGCCATTCCCTGTTCTGCGCTCCATGACGTCAAAGATCATCTCAAAGTCTGAGCAGGGTGAGTGGCTTTAGGGCTTTCAGGAGCCACAGAGCCGTGTCCGTGTGTTTGTACAGTCAGGGTCCACTGAATAGTTGCCTACTGCAGCAACTTCATGATGCACTTGAAAACAAAGCACTTGCAAGTTTCTGTCCCTTTGAACAAAGGGGAACCTTGAAACTTAACTTATTTGATTTTGAACACATTCTGGTTTCACTTCTTAAAACTTGTTTTTCTTCTTTCCTGGGTGTGTATCTGCAGGAGCCCTGTTTGCCTGTCTTTCCTTCCTGGAGAGTTTAACTACCAACGTATCGGCCGCCGTTTTTAACAGCGTCTATGCTGCTACGCTGAAGTGGTTCCCTGGCTTCTCCTTCCTGTTGTCTGCAGGACTCTGCGTCATCCCGTTATTTGCCCTTGGGTAAGTTGTAAATTTTTGTCGATGTAGATAACACAACAGTAAAGGACTGTACCAGCACTTTTGCATACGAAAAGCAAATGGTTGAGAACATAACATAATTAAAGCCTGAATGATGCATCTCCAAACTCGTGTCATGTGTAGAGCTGTACTCAGTGGATTGAGTTACATTCACCAAACAAACACCTTTTTTCTGCTTAGTCACCAGTTGCTTAGTCACCAGTTGTGCTGAACTAGGAAAAGGGAAATAGGAAAAGGGAAATGCCGTCAGTGATTTGGTCGCTCAGAAAACCAGAAGACTTGGTTCCTCGTTCCTGCATTCATCACATCCAACTTCCCTCAGCAAACAAACTGTTTAACTCTTCATACAGCAATATAAACACATGACATGTTTATTATGTCTTTTGAACTTTGACTGCTACGCCATCAATATCAATGCTGTCATATATATGGAGGCCATAAAAAGGACCTGTGGTACACTGCGTTCTTACATTTGTTCGGTTACACTGAGTTGGCAGAGTAGTGCTGCTGAGTCAGTCGGAGGTCTAGCGTGAAGCTTAGAACTCCTTGAATTCATCTCTGTCACATGCGCTGCTTCTTCTGTTACATGGTGAGTAATTATAGTATAACAAAGCTACTGGGTCAGCAATCTCACATTCATATCTGGTTGCAACATTGGAAACATCACTGACTTTGTGTTACTCGGGCAAGCTGAAGCAGGTGTGCACACAGGAGCTTTGTCGAGACGACAGTTGCCTAGTTTAGTTGGAAATGGTGGGGACAGAAATTTATGCTTCTCTTATGCCTGTTTTTCCACATTTCAGGGTGGTGAGTCTGATAGGAGTGGATGATGCCGAAGAGGTCAAAGAGCAAGAGCCTGTCTTCCAAGGAGAGGAGGATCTTGTTGAAGATCAGAACAACCACGTCTCTCTTCTTACCTGAGCCGCAGCCTGCCTGCCAGAACATCACCAGCACGTCATTTTGGCCTTCCGTGATTTGTTCTTAGACACTTTTTCCAAAAGTACCTCATTGACCGTTGTTAAAAATGCAGGTTACAGATTCATTTATTGTGCTTTTGAACTTGAATTTTATTAAGATACAACAGGGAGTTGTGAATTTCTTTTGGATTAGATACATTAGATTTAAAGCAGGGATGGGATGTTAAGTGCATCCAACTTAGCGGGTCTTCCATGAAGAATGGTAGAAATCCTTGCCTGTTATTTACAGTGTACCTCCAAATGGCCTGACTGTGACATTACTAACACATTCAAAAAATGTAATGTGTTTTCATACAGTTTTACAGTGTGATAAGATACGCACTTTAAAAAAAAAAATAGTTTTCAGATTTTCAGTCACATGGACTGATGATCTGTCCTACATTTTCTGTCTTATTTTTCGTGCAATGTTTGTCAATGCATTTACAAAGAGCTCCACTGTCACTTATTTCCAAGAAGAAATTTCATGAAACACCAAATGCAATATAACACAAAGCTTGTTATCTATATAAGGTTGCTTTTATTTTTATTTTTTGGACTCTGTGCTTTTTTTAAAGAAATAATAATCTCTATTTAGGACATAGATTTTTATGGTTGTCTTCCAACTTTAATGTTTGATGATCTAAAGGGATGATAAGGAAGGAATGATGGGAAAAACTACAAAAAGCCAACAATCAAACATGAGTCAGTGTGTTATCTAAGCGGGAATGCAAATGTAAATATAACATGAACAATGGTGGGTGGTATTTCAAATGGGACAGAAATATGTTGTTTACCCTGAACTGTGCCACACTGAATAAGTTAAAACAGGATGAAACTTCAGGTATGGTTACAGGTGGAACACCCAGGGTGAACCCTGGGTTTCTATCTTGTTCCTTTGTGTGTATGTTCATGTCATGTGTGTAAATGCAATAAAATAAATGAAATGTTCTATTTTATTTTTAATCTTTATTTATTTTTATGGAGAATTCAATGAGTTCCTCTAACACAGTCCCAAAGAGCACCATCAATCATGTTTTTGTTTTTTTGCTGTTTGTGGAACATACTCATGTGGAGGTTTCTCTTTTGCTTGCTAAAACCACCACTGATGGAGATTTATGTTTTTGCAAGGCAATCTTTATCTTGATGGAAATTAATTAGACATCCACTCAACTGAAAAAATGGAGACATTGTTTTCAAGTCAAGTTTTGAGATTGGATTGTAAAAATTAAGAACACCGTTAGGAATTTGAAAATAACAAATGTGACCTTAAATATTCACAAAGGTTCAACTTGAATCTTAAATACTCATTACCTCAAGCCACATATTTATCTCTCAGCACCAACAAAATGTAATGCTTTCATACAGTGAAATAAATATAGCTTTTTTTTTTTTTAGCCTGGTGGAAGATTATGTAACTATAAACTATCAATTTGTGCACATTTTTTTCAGGTTGTAAAAAGTTGTAGAGATGTAGGGGATTAGAGTTTTGACTTGTTTGATTCTGTCTAGCATGTATTAATACTGTGTTTCTGAGGGAAATAATATACTGATGAAAATCTCCCTGCAGGCTAGAAGTGTTTCGGTGATGCTGTCCTTTGCACAATGACCACTAAGTGTCACCCTTGGTCCAGACTTACAGGCTCACTGACATGCTACACCTTTAATATCGTCAGCGAACACTATATAAGTCCAACATGAGCTGTTGCAGACTTGGAAATAAAGAGAATGTCTATTTTTTTATGCATCAAGTTGTTTTACAGTAAAACACTAAAAACTCATAGATATAGTTTTAACTCTCCTATATGTACACACTCCTTTTCACACATGCTAAAGAACTCTGCTCTAGATTTCATGTTTTTTTTCAAAGGCTACAAAGAGACTTTTGACAACTCTAGATTTAACTTTAACAAACTTGATTATGTTGTCAGTGCAGCCATGATGTAACGTCGTGATCAGATAACTAGTTTAGAGCTGTTTCCACATAATCTCCTGGTCCTCAATACAAGAAAAGTGCATTTTGAGCAGAAAACAAGTCGCCCAGTGCAATCAATACACCAGAAATTAGGTTGATGATTCCTGTTAATTAGTTATTAAGGTGAATCTTGAAAAAAAGTCAGCCCCTTTTCCCACAAATGCATGCTCCCAACACTTCAGTTTCTACTTTTCCTCATTTTCCTGTACTGAATTTTCCGAAGTTTCCACCTCCTGTCTTTGTCCTCTATTGTGCGTACATGCATGTGTGTAAAAACTATTTTTCTTAGACTCGCCCCTTCTCTGGGAGCGATCTGAGATTCTAGGAAAAGCATGCAAGCATGCAGACGCTGTGTGTCTTATGAATGGTGAATGGACATCAGAAATCCTGGCAGGGATCTCATCTGATCACGTCGTTAGTTACTTGACCATGGAGTTAGTGTGGAAACAGACAAGCATGTAAATAATGTCTGCAAACACAAGAGATGAATGAGATGGCGGCTATGTCATAGAATACCCTCACATGAACCTGGATTGAATATAAGATTAGATAAGATGCGTACACATGATGCATTCCAGGTATAATTGGGTCTGTTGGTTGTTGGTATGTTTCATCTGCACATTAATTCTGTTAAACTGAGTTGAGGGATGTGATTTGCACAGGAGGATGGGAAACCCTCATGAGAATACAGTCGACATACACTATAGCTTTGAAAAAGGTAGAATAAAATAAAAAGCAAGACAACACAACTTATTGACAAACTCACCCAAGCTGGTTCAGTGTGAACAGATCTAGCACACCTCCTTGCACTGTAGAAATAAAATCGTGTCGCTTTTGAACACTGTTGGAGTGAGAAAAAAAAAGAATGCCAGTGAAAGTGTGTTTCCTTTTTTAAAATGTATAATTGGCATGTCAGTTTGAATTGGCTTCATTCACGGAAACCCAAATGACGTCTGATCATAATATGCAGTTATTTGATTTCCATCCTCAAGTCTTGAGAACCGTGACTGAAGCTTGATTGTAAGGTAATGTTGACACTGAGTTTGAATCAAGCTCTCGGCGCTGGAGGTTACATGAGGGATCATCTGAGGCAGGGCTTGCTTGGCACCAGACATGAGGTTTCTGGTTAAATTAGAGATGGAGGTGTGGTTAAGAGTGACGATAGTTTGCAGGCGAAGAGACAGTTTTCCTATAGGGGTAAGGAGCCGGGGGGGAGACAGCCGTGTTGGTGGCTTGTATGTGTCTGGCATGCATGGGGTCGTTGGGGATTAAAGTGAAGCATGAAGGCAGGGGATCGAGGGTCTTTGGTTTCTGGTTTCCAAACTAGCTGAATCAGCAGTACGATCATCTGCACCACATCACATCACCAATAGCTCGATCTCTGATGTCGATCCAGTAAGTTGCTAACAGACCCTCTCTTTATCTCAACCTTCTGCTCCCCGGGAGGAGATAATTCACTACGATATATAAAAACCCATTTGAGGTGGTTTGCGTGACTGAAGGGTGCGATAGAGGGGCTTCCCAAGCTGGGGTGGTCGTTTGAGGATGATTTGATCACACCAGGATATGCTGCATATTTTCATTCTCAGTTTTCAAACGGTAAACAGGCTCAACAGCACAGGGATCAAACTCCACAGTTAATGTGAATGTGGGCAGAGTTCGCTGACCACCAAAGCTGTTTCTGACCTGTTTCCTACGAGTGAGTTGCTTTTACACACACAGAAGCTCACACAGAAATCTAAATGCAAACAGACTGTTTTCAAGTTTACACATGAGCAGCTTCAGCATCTGCATCTGCAATAAATGCTTCCCTCAAAGGCATCTTGGCGGTTAGTAGTATCGACACACATTTTCCCAGGCCTTAATGGTTGCATGTCTGCTTCTTTGCACACTTAATAGGCCTATGGTTTGCAGTTTACCATATCACAACTGTACTACATGGATCTCTGTTAATGTATTTTCTACTTGTACGGTTACAGGACTGGCAATAGAAATTTAACCAGGATAGTTGGTTCCACTACTGTCATCTGAACCATCAGCTGGTGATTCATCCCTTCATTTATCTTCCAACCACAAAGGTCACACTGCTGCGTTGCTTTTCTCCTGCTGGCAGGTCTGCCGTGCACTGCAACGGATGATATGTGTTGGTTATGTGATGGTCTGATCATCCCACGCTCCCCACATGCTGCCTGCGTGTGTGCTGTAGGTTGCGTGTGTGTGCTTAGGTGGTTAGTCAGAGGTACAGAAGCATCAATTGTCATCTTCATTTTCACATGAATTTCACATGGGTTATCAACTTTCCCCTCAATCCCATTTCAAGGTTGTCCTTTGAGTTTGTATTTGTTTATCCATTCATAGAGATCAACACATCTGTTTCTGTCCCATCTGGATCACATGGCTTCATGTGGTTGACCACTCCCTCCACAAACCTTTGCCTGTCTTATGTTGATTGCCCCGTCGCTCTACTAACTCCTCTCCTCCACATCCTCCTTATTTTCTCTCCACTACTTTACTATACAATACCACAGATCCCTCTTCTCTCCTTTGCTATCTCCAACCATCCAACCGTGTGTCAGACTCCAGAAGTGGTTTTACATTCAAGTCTTCACCTCCCCCACCCTGCATATCTACTGTATGTGTCTCCTGCCACTTCCACTGACACTCAGACACCCAGACACACAATCACAGCCTCAACCCTTAGGTCTAGATAAGATCCAATCAAACCCAACACACAAAAACTCCCCATCTCCCTTTCATGACCTGAGGCATCGGTAATTTCCATGAACATGGCGGGCTATGTTGTTGATCATCCCATCTCTACTCAAGAGGATCGAGCTGAAGGTTGTTACACGGTGGTGCTACCCCGCTGAGACCGAAATGATTACCATTTAGTGTGTGAAAGCTTTGAATGTCATATGTGCAGAGCAGCGCCTTTAGCCACGTCGGCTGGTGAGCCGGAGTCTTAAAGAATGGCAACCCCCCCCCCTCATCTCTAGAACAGTGGCAAAGGAAAGGTCACTGTGACAATCGATACACTGCCTCTCCCAGTTTGCCTGGTTCTGCTTCAGTGCGTCAGACTAATCAGCCTGCTGCTCGGATTGAGAGGAGAATTCAGGACCAGATAATCAGGTGGGAATGGAAAGAGGAAAGCTTGACTAACTCTGATATACAGTATAGCCACATTCAGCGTCTGTAGTTTTAATGCAACTGGTATTGTCATCGTTATCCTTTCTTTGCAATCATCTTCTTCATGATAAATCCAAATTATTCTTTATTTTGGTCTCAGGTTTCTTCTCTCCGGGCTCCTTTTCCTTGTGAAGGTTTTATTGTCTCTTTGGGTATATTAACAGCAACGTGTGTCTTAAGTGGGTTCACACTAATTGCATTTGGCTAGGGCGTGCTCTCAAACACACACAAACACAAGCACGCAAACAGACAGAGAGAGGTATCTCTGGTCAAATTAGAAGCTCTCCAGTTTCACTCTAACATTACAGGAACCACAGAGCAAGTTAACCTTCTGTTTAGCCACACTGGCAAACAGCAAGCCAGCACGGTGTGGAGTGATGTGTGAGCACAAGGTCACATCTGTATTTATCAGATTTTCTCTGACCCAACCCATGCCTCCGTTCTTTGCAATGAACTAATTTTTACAGGCTGCAGTTGGCTATTTCTGGTTTTCACTGCTCTATTATTAATAAGCATTTTCATTTCAGTTTGCATTAGCACGGTTTCCACAGCGTTCAAAAGCATCGGGTTTCTAATTATGGCCTGAGAGAGGAAATTGTCCGCAAAAAAGTTCAAAATCAGTATAAGCAGCACATGACATGTCAAGCTATTAACTTGCAGGTATCCATTACACTCAGTTGCTGAAACACATTATAAATGAATAAAATATATTGCGCATTTGTTAGGGTCTACTTTCAGCGGTGGATTAATATACATTGGGTGGTATCTATGGGGATCTAACTCAAAATAAACTAAATG